CATCTGTGACGCCAACTACACCGGCAGCGCCTGCGACTGCTCCCTGGAGACCTCCACCTGCCTGGCCAAGAACGGACAGATCTGTAACGGCCGCGGTACCTGTGAGTGCGGCGTCTGCAAATGTACCAACCCCAAATTCCAGGGTCCCACCTGTGAGATCTGCCCCACCTGCCCCGGAGTCTGCGCAGAACACAAGTGAGTGCCAACGGAGGGGGTTCTGGTTCTGTCCTGTAACTTTATTTAGTAAGAACAGAGCGACACCCTTTTGGATCACAAACAAACAGACGAGTTCACCAACAGCTCGACCTTCTATCTGTTTCCTCAGAGATTGCGTGCAGTGCAGAGCCTTCGACGCCGGCGAGAAGAAGGACACGTGTCTGCAGGAGTGCAGCTACTTCGAGCTGGTCAAGGTGAAGGACCGTGAAAAACTGCCTCAGCCCACAGACCAGAGCTTCCCGCTGACGCACTGCAAAGAGAGGGACGCCAACGACTGCTGGTTCTACTACACCTACGCCATCAGGAACGACACCACCAAGGAGGTCTTTGTGGTGGAGACGCTGGGTACGACTCTCACGCTCACACCTGATCCTGGTCTGTAACAGCAGATGACTTCTTGAAGTCTCAGGACTTGGTTTAAGTGGTTCTGGTCTCTGTTTTGTCCCCTCAGAGTGCCCCACAGGACCTGACATCATCCCCATCGTAGCAGGTGTGGTCGCCGGCATCGTTCTCATCGGCCTCGCTCTGCTGCTCATCTGGAAACTTCTCATGATCATCCACGACCGCCGAGAGTTCGCCAAGTTCGAGAAGGAGAAGATGAACGCCAAGTGGGACACGGTGAGTGGAGCACACCTTTACACCAGGATCCAGAGGGGGCGGGTTTTAGTCAGCTGATTAAACCGCAGAAGGGAAGGTTTGTTCAGAGTTCATGTTTTTGTCCTGGATCAGCCTCACTTCAGGTCTGTGTAGGCCTGTGTCTCTGAGGGAGCGTCCTCCCCTGACACTGCTGCCTCTATCTGTCCAAATTCAACAACTGCACGACCATAAAAGGTAAAAACCAGAGAGCCGGGGGAGGGAAATCACACCAGCAGAGTTTATGGCCCCATGGCAGGAAGCAAACATGCGGCACGGCGGCGTTTAGAGGACTTTAAAGAGCCGAAAACATGTCACTGTATTACTGTAATAGAAGAAAACAGAACCAGCGACATGTTTACTGTGAGACTGATGTGTTTCCTGAAGGACAAGAACCCAGAGAACCGTGTCCAGAACCCCAGTTTGGAGTAGAGACGCTGCTCTTTGGGTCAGAGTTGGTGATGTGTCAGTGCAGAGTACAGAGTTAATGTCAGAGGTCTGTGTTTACACAGCAGGAGCTGAAGTCGGTGTTTCACATCAGACAAACAATCATTAAGACAAAGCCTTTAATTTAGACAGGAGATGTTTGAGTATGTTTCTTTATTTCAAATTAAATCGGATTCTTCGTTTATGTTTATAATCGCTGCTGAGTTAAAGGACAAACGTGGTCGACTAAAGTTCACTCATCAACCGCTGGACGACTTTGTCTGTTGTCTTTAGAATATAACCAGCTTTTTTTTTCATGTCTTAAATGATCTTTAATCTCATAATGTTATACTCAAACAACGATGGACCAGCGTCTAATCTCTTCAAACCTCCTGAGTGCTGTTCTTCTGTCGTCTGTTATTTGATAAACTGAGCAAAGATCTTCAGACGGCCGGAGTTTAGAGCTGCTCAGGAGGAGACAAACTCAGTCCAGTTATCAGATATCCTCCTAAATACTCAGGTATTGATCACAGGCCGTTAATCATTCAAGTCAATCCTCTGAAACTCAACGCCAAACAAGAAGTTCAACCAGCGGAGAGGGACGAGTTTGAAGGGAGACATCAGGATGAACCAGAGAACTCCGTTTCAGAGGACTCTGGACTCGGCTTTAGAACTTCTCCTGGTCTTAAATGAGTTCATGGTCGATTGAAGTGTTTGTGAATAATTTTGATCGGTCTCACACTTCCTGTCTCACCCTCAGACCTCAGTAGATCTGTAACCGTTGAGTTTAGTAACTGTGATTCATGGTTCCACTGCTCAGTTTCTGTTGTCCTCACTCGTGTCGTCCTCTCTCCTTCAGGGCGAGAATCCCATTTACAAGAGCGCCGTCACCACCGTCGTCAATCCAAAGTATGAGGGCAAATGATGGAGCTCCGCCCTCTTTGTGACAACACTGTATGGAAAGAAAAGGGGCGGGGTCAGGGGAAGGAAGGAGAGGGAGGGGCGGGTTTTTTAATGCTTCACTGTTTGTTTGTTTGTGTGTTTGTTTGTTTGTTGTAGTCACCAAACGATAGCAGAGCTTTTTGCCACTATTTCCGTTTGTTTTTACTAACTTTTTTACTCTCTATGCATCCTCTGAACTGTGTACAGTCTGTGTAAATGTGGGGTTATTTGATTGTTTTCTCCTTTTTCGCCTGTGCCGAGCCGAATGAGCGGAGTGTTGAACTGGTTCGGAGTTTTTCCTGCCACAGGACTGGCAAAGTAACGAAACACCTCGCTGTGCCTTTAAAAGAAAAAAAAAAACAACATGAAGCCATCAGTGTTTTGTTTGGAGGACGTTGATAAGAGGCGGCAGAAGAAGAGTTCCTCTCTGAAAGAGCGTGTGGGGGCTGATCGACCTCAAAGAGTCTTAATAATGTTTGCTGAGGGGTGATAAAGTAGATTTCACTCTCTGTAAACGAGTCTTTGGATCGAAACTCTTCAAATGTAGCGCCGGTCTCTGTAGCAATGAAATGTGTACAGTGTGTTTGGTTTCTTTAAGCCATATATATGTGTTCACCGAGCAGGATTTAAGGCGTAAGTATGTTTTTGATTCTAATCTATCTGAACAATCAAGTGAGACGTTTCCTCGAGCTGCTTTTGAGTGTACAGACGAATGACTGTGCGGCTCCAGGGTTTACTCGCTTAATTTAAAGCCAACTCAGGTCCTTAATTCTTCACAGCATCGCCAAATACAAAGAAACCTGCCTTAATGCTAACTTAAGTAGCGTTTTTTTAAATGTTTTATTTGTAGTAAAGAAACTGGGGAAGGGTCCAACTTTTTCTACTTGTCAGTAATTCCACCTTAAATGGTACTTTCTCATAAGGAAAGACTAAGAAGAGTGTTAATGTAATTCAGGTTGAATCATCAGTGGCAAAGGGTTGATCTGGACATCTCTTGAATTTGGGGTTTTGTAAAGAAAAAAAAGGTTACACCTGTCACCATTGTTTTTAAGTGCCTTTTTTATTTCAACACATTCACATTTGCTATTCTGTAATTCTGAAATTATTTATTAAATAAACCTTGAAAACTGTTTACCCCGATATTTCTGGGAAACCGTGCGGTCACTGTGACTCTGCTGACTGGTGTGTCTGTGTGTATCTGTCCTCATGTTCTGTTTCTGTGCATGAACACGATCCAGAGATTCTGGGTCCGGATGTGAACAAACTATGTCAACAAATCTGAACAATGGTTCTGGTTCACGTCTTTAATGGTTGTCACTAAAGCAGAGGAAGTCTCAAACATGTTTTCAAGTGTTAAAGCTGTGGTCTCAGCTTTGAATGAGTTGGTGTGCGATGAATGCCAAGTGTTTGAGTTTTTAAAAAAGTTTAATTCTTTTAAAACAGACTTTGATAGTTTAACCCCGTATTTAATTGAAATGGTTCAAAGACAGTGTATCAAATGAAGTAATGTATTGCAAATTTGATGTGGGAACAGGTTTCAGAAAAGATTGAATAGAGATAACAAAATAAGACACTTATTTTGGAAAACATGGATGCTGCATCCTCTGTTTTAAGGGGGGAACTGAAGTATAGTACATAAATATTAGTTAAAGATAGTAAAAACTGACCGTGTACTGTTGAGTTAGACTGTCTTTATTACAAACACATTTGTACATGAGAATGTCTTTAAGTGATTCAGAAAATCCACAGCTGTGTTTTCTAAAAGAAAGAGTCAAACATTTCAACAATCTGAACTGAAACTCAGATCCTCTCATTAGACTCCTTTACTTTCTCAGTTACCCCTGAACTACTATGATGAAAAATGGTGGACTTTTATGCCTCATTGATACCACAGTTGATTTATAAAACCAATTTAAAATTATCATTTTTGGTCTTAACACATTTTTAATCAAACTTATGATGGACTAAATTCACTTTTAATACGTTTTTTTGTAAATAAATGTCTAACCCCTTCACCTATGTGCTTCTAACCTTCACAGACTCCATGAATTGATGCCCATCTCCTAAATATTTGACCAAATGATCAATTTTTTTTTACCATTTCCAAGCAACAGGGGGTGGCTCGACTTACCCCAGTCTCCCCTATTAACTAATATGTGTGTAAAACATCATGAACACCTCACAGTATATTACACTAGAATTGATTTACAATGTTATTACCTGATTGACTGTGTAGAATATTAATGTAGAATCGTCTTTTTATGGTGAAGCTGTTGTACTAAATGGTCAAGTGTCCCTAATATTATGGCCGGTTCGTGTATATGTACCCACAGAATAGTGACTGTGAGGCGAAGACACAACATTTGGTGGACTTTATAACTGTTATGTTATGGGTCGAGTTTGTAGGAGTGAGCGATGTCTGTAAATTGTGTCAAACTGATAAAATAGACGCGCTTTTCGTCAGTTGGTTGGATTTACACGACCATGTTCGTCCTTACACGGTCGCTATTGGAAACTAAAAGACAACTGTTAATGTTTATTTGGGTTAGAGAAAGCGAGGAGTGTATTTTAGTTCGACTTTATGGTAGAAAAGTCGTTAAAATTAGGTTTTACTTCGACAGTAGTGTCACGTAAAATTCGGCTAACAGGCTAACCGCTTCACCGTGACGTTATCAGCCAATCACGTTCCGTTCCATCCCTGTGGAGCGTGACGCCGCGAGCCCGAGTCTCTCCACAGGTGATTGGTGGCTGCGGCCGTCCAATGAGAGGCCGTGTTTTACAGCAAAGTTGTTAACCCCCAACAGTAGCACTTTGGTGTCCACCTCTCTAGTTTCAGCTGCTTTACATCGACAGGAAAACAGACTTTTCATCGACCGAAAACGCTCCGTGACGGGCTGGAAATCCACCGGATAACGGCTGCTGTCGTCGGGATACCGGCTCGGCGTGTGTGTTTGAGGAGAGAAGGCAGTTTGGAGGAGCAGCTGGGGCTAACGTTGATGTTAGTTGGATCCCTCTCTGCTTAGCTGCGTCGTGTTGACTAGCGTTTTTTTTTTTATAACTTCTGACTTGCAGAAATGTTGCTCATCTGTGTGTAAACCCCGGACCCTCGCTGACCGATCGACCCCCGGTGAGTATTTTAATGTAATGTTTATGAAGTTGTGTCGACGGTCGCCAGAAAGGCCCACCGTGAACAGTGTTGGCATCAGATGATTTCATACACGCAATCAAATTCCTGGCTGGTCAGCTGGACTCAGTTCAGCTCCCAAACACACCAGTCCCCCTCTCACTTTATCAGCTTTCACAGCAAACAGGCGCTGATATCGATCAATCCAGTCTATAGGGGATTATTTTCATTCTATATCACAAAAATCTACTTCACTAATAGTTACATTTAAGAGGAAAAGCCAATATCGGAGACCTGATCCAGCCAATAGGGAGAGGAGGCACCAGCAGAGTCCATGAGGGCTTCAAAGTCTATTTTACAGGGATATCATATGAGGGATTTGCATCATGCTGCTTGTAAATGTAACATTGTTGGATCATAGGGCTTTGGGTGTGTGGCTAAACAGTGCCAAGCAGCTCCTGTGGTCTGTCAGGGAACTGCTTGGCCCTGGCCTGCATGGGTCTGGATCCTTCATCATATTCCCTGTATTATCCAGGCGATTCAAGGCAGGTTTATTTATAAAGCTGCTTTCACACATGGAGCGAATGAGGGCGCTTGAGTAGAAACAGAACAGTCTGAACAGTAAAGCTACTATAGGGAGATTTTGGATCTTAAAGGGATAGTCCGGCGTAAAATTGATTTAGAGTCAAACAGACCGTAACAGTGAGTTAGACACCCCCTTCGAGAGATTAATATTGCTGACCGCTTGTTTCTCTAGTTATACCAACTTAAGGATCGACCACAGGATAGCAATACACAGCGGTCTGAGGAGCCATAAACAAACCTCAACCAAAACACCACTCTATAGCTACAAATAATGCTCAGAACAGCACCTAACTTCATCAACAGGACATATAGGGTCACAGCCATAGTACTAGACACCAAACATCTTTTTAACTTTGACTCATTTCTTTAGCAAAGGGACTAAACACAACTGACCTACTCTCTTCCAGCAGCCGCTTGTTTTTAGCGAGACCTCGGGTCAGTCCATTACGGACAACAGCGGGGTGACACAGCTCAAGGAAGAACATTTATGATCATTTCTCCATGGAAATACAATCAGACCGAGACTGTCCTGTTGATGAAGTTAGGTGCTGTTCTGAGCATTATTTGTGGCTATAGAGTGGCGTTTTGGTTGAGGTTTGTTTATGGCTCCTCAGACCGCTGTGTATTGCTATCCTACAGTCATTACTTAAGTTGGTATTGCTAAAGAAGCAAGTGGCCGGCAACATTAATCTCTTGAGGGGGTGTCTAACTCTGTGTTACGGTGTGTTGGATCCTAAAATAACTTTATGCTGGAATATCCCTTTAATGACATAGATTATAATTCTTATTGTGTCTAAAGGCAAACAAGACCATTGGGGGCTACACTGAAGGTTTTTTTACTGGCTGAGAACTAGGGGGGTATGTGTCAGCTGACTGTGTCAACATAAAAGTCTCACTTTGACTGTCAAAACTCTGCAGAATGACAAAAGTCCCTATTTACATGTAAAGGAAAACAAAGGCTGCTTCACAGGGGGCGCCAAAAGTAACACAAAATAAACGTTCCTCATAGTAGCTTTGGATGAAAACAAATTATCCGTGCATGTTCTCATTCAACCAGGCCATGGTTTTCCATTTCTTCGTCCAAAGGGCAACTGGACTTGCTTGAGGTTCTTGTAGGCGAAACTTCAAGGGCTTCAAGAACTTAAAGCAAGCCCAGTTTAGACCAGGTCCAATTCTTTAACACAGAATAGGATTCTCTGAATTCTTTCTCTGAAATCCTTGAGGTCAAACACTCCTTTGTGTCTTTTGTACCTCTTTACTTACATGGACTCAAATCTGGCAAGAGGAACTAAAAAATGTTGTAAAGCTGCCTTATAGTGACTTGTAGTGGTTGTTGTCCTCTGATTAGTTAATGATTCTTCATAAAAGCAGAGGAGTTTGTTTTACTACACCAGCTCTACCAGGGGATGTTTAATTTAGAGAAGCACCAGGAACAGAGTCTCTGGGGTTGTGTAAACTCTGGGCATTTAGGGACAAACCCCGCCCTCATGGGACATTTGCAGGCCAGCACAAGGTATGTGAGGTATGAGAGAGCTGTTTGTTAGCATATTCACCAATCACAAGATCTTCAAAACAAGCTCGTCAGAAACATGTGTGTAGAGAGACAAACAAGTTTCAGACCAACAACAGGCTGTAAACATGTTAACTTTTTTAAATGAGTGTGTATGTGGTCTCTGCTGCTTCTGCAGACAGCCTCAAGTGGACGCTCAGGGAACTGCAGGTTTTTGGCACTTCTGCAGGGGCATCATTTCTCAGGACCAGAGGCTGCTGCTTCAATAACATGTTGGCATCTACTCCACAGCGTTACAGACTGCTACATGGGAAATCCTCAACGATGACTGTCTTTAGTTTTGATGGTTTTTGACTCGAGTCTTTGGGCAGATTTCACCTGGGGTCTGGTTTACGATGAAAACTTTTTGAAGTGTTAGAATATGAACGGGCCAACATCAGAAAAACAACTTGACAAAACCAGATGTGAATGTTAGACACTAGATGTTCAGCACCTGGACTCTTTTTTGTCCTGCTCACAAGCCTCTGTGTGTTTCATCTGTTAAACATGTTTTATTTCACATCTTTCAGGTCATCATGGCGGCTTCAGTGGATTTAATAGCGAAAGGACCGCCTTGGTTCTTATGGGTGGACCCTGGATAAACCCAATGTCACCAACAGGTAAGATTATGATTTCAACTGATCCTTCTGACCTTGACTGATGCTTTGTGGCACTCTGGAGTTCAGCCGCTGTTGCTGTTTTCATTTCAAGCTTGAGTCTGTTTCTTTTCAGTCCCCAGAGTCTATGAGGTCTCTGTAGAAGCTGAACTCAGAGTCCCTGATTGAATCTCTGCACATTGAGTCTTTTTACAACACTCATGTTTTTGCTCTGAAAGTCTGACCCTTTACCTGTCAGACCAGAAGAGGGAGACATTGTTCAGGTGGTTGCCATGATACCCTTCACCTGTAGTAAACAGTTTGTTTCAGGTCTGCTGTGATAGAGAAGGTTCAGCTTCTTCTGTGGGGTTTAAGGTGTTGGTCTGCTGTGAAACCTGAGCAACTCTTTGTCTGTTTATGGATTATGTGGCTCAATTTTCCAGACAAACTAATCAGAAACAGAGCAGTAATCAATAATTGGTGATAGTATGTGTGTTGTAAAATGAGTATTTGTTGTTTTTGGCTGTTAGAACTTAAAAAAGGTGGTATTGTAGGATTGAATTTAACTTGCAGTACACCATAAATACTTATAAATGCTTGAAAATAAAGAGAAAAAAAAATTGAGCACAAAGAAATTTAACTCAAACAACTAAAGAGTTCTGAAAACAAGAAGGAAAGATTATGCAATTTACAAAAATGGTGAAATAAATGCAGAATTAGGATGTACAAAATAACACAGAACATGCATTTCATGAAAAAAATCTGATTAAATCACAGATAAAATTAAAAGAGTTGTCCGCATAATATTGAGAAAATGGGCGGTGAAGCAAAATGCAAAAAAAATTAAAATATATAAAAATAATCAGTACAGAATTGTTGACTTTTTTTTATTGTTAAAGCCTTAAAACTTTATACAAAATATGTAAAAGAAGACACATTTGAGCGACATCAACTGTGTGAGATAAATAAGTTAAAAGGTGTAATATAGTGTTTCTGATATTTATGTATGTTTAAATTTAAAGAAATACACTGCATGGGTGATAAAAATACAGATTTTAACACAAAATGTTAATGCAACTTTTTTAAATTAATAAAATAAATATAAATTATAAACGATTTAAATTTATGAATTTAGGTTGAAATTAAATTTAATCTCGTAACGAAATAAAAGTTCGTGTGTTTTTCATATAAGCGCATTATACCTGTGTCATATTTTTAAATGTCAGTTAAAAAAAGAGTTGTTTTTTTGGTGTTTATTTCGGCCATGTCTAATGTTTATCTCAATAATACATGTGTATGTGTGGAGTTAGTTTGCCAGAAAAGGCCCCCTTCCCCCCACCCCTGCAACGCGCAAGCGCTCGGGATCGTGTGGGAATGGTCGGTCCACGAACTGGGGGTTGGACCGCTCCGAGCGAAACAGAGCAAAAGAGTTTTAAATGTCCGCCATGTTGTCCATGGCGCACTGAACCAACGGTAGGGAGCGGAGCGTCGGAAAAAAACAGTCCGAGAGAGAGCGACCGAGATCCGGGCCTTCCCCCGGCTCCGCTGGCGACGCCCTAAATACAAGCTACAACCACTCGAACGTTAGAACAGAGATAACCGCACAGAAACATCCATGAAAGCTCCACTCGGTACCGTGGTGAATATTAGGAGATCCGGTAGATTTATATTGCATCTCGACGTGTGAAAAATGAGTAAATTGTCGTTTCGGGCGCGGGCGCTGGACGCTTCCAAGCCTCTACCCGTCTTCCGCTGTGAGGATTTACCCGACCTACACGAATATGCATCCATTAACCGGGCTGTGCCGCAGATGCCGACGGGGATGGAGAAAGAAGAGGAATCGGTATGGTTTTATGGTTTAAAAATGTGAAAATATGTGCTGGGGTTTATTTTTTATTTTTGAATCATCACAGGCGTCCCTCTTTTTTTCTGCGCAAGCTTTCACAAAATGGCCGCCAATTTTCTCAGAAGAAACACGACGGATTTCAGCCGTTAACGGCCGCCCCGGTGGACACGGCGGGTTGTTTGGGCTGCGCGGGGATACATTGTGTCGATTTTGGATAAAATTGCCCGGTTTGGCCGGTTTATTTATGTGTGAGGTGGTTTTCAGAGTACAAAGGAGTCATGTGACTTCAGCTATTCCGACATTTTGTCTGGTCTGTCAGTATCGGGCCTTGTGTTGGCGTAATAGCGAAGGACTGGGGAAAGGGGGAGCTCGTGATATCAGATAATACTCTGACCGGCCATAACATTAGGAACACCTGGGCAAGCTAATCCAGCACAGTGTAACACATCTGTGGTGACTTTTACTCTTATTAATGCCAGTGTCTGTTGTCATGGTTACACAGGAATACATGTTCAGACTGTAGTTGGGTTCCGTGATATGTTTGGAGGCCTTACGTTGAACGGTGTTCCTAATATTCTGACCTTCTTATGAAGTGGACAAAGTGTTAGTAACACCTCTCTGTTTAAACATTTTCCAGCACCCTTTCGTTTAAAACGACAGATATAAAACACAATAATGACCCGTGTCTTACTAAAGCTGTTGAAATGGATTACATTAGAGTGCACATGTGTTCTAATGTTTTGTGTCCCTCGTGTTTGCTAACGAACTGGACAAAATATTAGGAACACATTTTAGTTCGTACACACTCAAGCACCCATTTTCTTAAAAATTATGGATGTAAAGCTCAATAATAACTTGTGTCATACTAAAGATGATGAAATGGATTGCATGAGTGCCCAGGTGTTCCTAATGTTTTGGCTGGTGTGTGTTTATGGTTTTTAAGCTAACAGCAGACACAGATGTCAACACTGTTGCTATGCAAAGATTTCACACACTTTCTCTGTCAGTGTGAGTTGAATATAGTGTTTGTTTGTGTCTTCAAAGATGACCCTCATTTAACTTAAGTTAGCTGTTAGCATCACAGAGTTGTCAGCAGCTCCTCGTGTTCATTTGCAGGGCGGCTGATGTTGTTTATCCCTATTTGTATTTGCAGTACAGCTGCTGTCATTGACTTAGTGCATTAAAAATAACTAGAGTTGAAGCTGTTAACTGTCTGTATAAGTGCCTTGCTTGTGTACTTTGTACAGCCACATTATTAAATGTCCCAGCTTAATCTGGAGAGGTTTCTCCTCATTTACAGACCTCCCTCTGGGGACATGTTGGTCTTTCTGGATAGTGTTGTCATCTGAATTAGCATCTGTCTGGTTTCTCAGTGCTGACTTTTTGATTTCCTAGATAATACATTTGCTTATTTGTGTATTTTAAAAACTCTGCATTCCATTTCTACAGATAATTAAAAGCCTTTTAATATCTTGAGGATTTTTTTTTAGCGCCAGAAATGAAGGTTCAAGCACATGTGGACTGTTAGATCAACAAAGTCAGCCCCTTGTTCTTGCTGCGTCCCTCCTCAGTTGTTGTTGTTGTTGATGTTGTTATCTGGAGGATATTGGAGGTTGTTTATCACAAATTATCCCAGGGGGAATTGTTCCCATTTGTGCTTCCTTGTCACGTCATTCATTAGAAAGCAGACGTCATTCTTGGCCCCCAAAGCAACAAATCAGTTTATTTCCTTTTAGCTGAGCATGCTGGCCTGGCTGGTGTTTAAATCTGAGAGAATAACATAACTGTGGCAAACTGTAAGTAATTCTGCAGCCAGTTTGCCTCCAGGCTCCTGTGCACGCTCAGTGTCAGGGGTTCAGTGTGTCAGATGGCACAGCAGGCTGGCAGACCAGCGGCACGTGGCGCTCAGGAGGAGATCAGGGCAGCGGGAGGAAATGGAGGAGAGGAGGGAGGAGGAGGTTTTAGGGGGGCTGCTGTCACTTCAAAGTCTGTGCTCTGCTCAGCTGGAGAGCACGGCTTATGTAAGAATCATATTATCATAAGAGGTAGGCCAAGGTCTGCTGCATGCCAGCCACTCACTGCTCGCAGCCGTCTCTGTTTTTGAGTCTGAACCTCGCTGGAAAAACACTTTGAGTCAGCGGTGGCGGGTTCAAGAGTCCTAACCCACGCTCTGTGTGTTTCTGTCTTTAGTTTTGAGGACCTGTGCTGGGAGCTGATTCTGTGATTCATTGTTGATCTTACAGGAAATCGTCTCTGTGTAACCCACCGAGCCTGTTACCACCTCAACCACTCAGTGTTCAGTGGTCTGCAGGGTGAGTGTGTGGTGTCCCAGCACGCAGCTGATCGGAGGCTTTTAACGTCGAGCTGTTGAACCTGCACCACAGAGCCACTCGGAGGTTCAGGCTTTTCTGTAGCTTTTTTAGAAAGCAGTCCCAGCCCAGTGTAGGGTTTTAGTTTACCGGGTGTGTGTGTGTGTGTGTGTGTGTGTGTGCAGCCCGGGTTCATTCACCAAAGAGCCGACATCTCTGAAAACTCCCGAGCACGTGCAGCCTGTTTGTTTTGGGACCGACACTTTGTCTTGTGTTTACGTTTGGGTGAAAGTGAGGTCAGTGTCTGCGGCTGGTGGAAACCCACATGCATCTGCTGTGCTCTCCTCTTTGGCAGACACACTCCTTGTACTCTTATTCACACACACACAGATTTCCTGGCAGGGTCCCAGTTTCTCTCTGTGCGACCTTGCTGAGTGGGAACGTGGATCATCTCACCTGTCCAAAGTCTCCGCAGCCGTCCCGCTGTGAAAGTGAAAGTGGCTTTTGTCAGCTGTTCCCCTGCTCCAAGCTTTCCTCTCACCGCAGACAGCTCTGTGCTGACGTCTGTGGGCAGCGTGGGAAATGAACACCAGCCTCCAGGCAGGTTCCTCATCCATGTCTGCCAAGGAGGACAGCTGTAGCTGAAACACACCTGGGATTGACCTGTGAATGTGGGGAAATCCAGGTCCAGAATGGAGGACTGTACTCACGAACCATTCATGGCAGCATGTGTATATATAGAGAGTCACTGCTGATCTTTACACCTGCATAGAAACTGATCTGTTTGATTGAAGACGTTACACTGAGAGGTCCTATATTGTCCTGAAAACAGCCTGAGAGAAGTGAAGCATGCCCTGTGATGATCATAACCCCGAGTATCTGCTCCCTGTGTGCTGTGAAGAGTCGGTTTATTGGCTCGTATTTGACATCGACTGGATATTTATGAAGAAACATTCAGTTTGTGGTGAAGGGAAACTGTTGAAGCCTGAATATCAGGGTGTAGGGGTACTAAAGTATATGACACACATTCAAAACTGAAGAACTTTGATTGTAAATTAAACAGACCAAACAAACCGAACAGTTAATCAGGTTAAAGTGAGGTATGAAATGAGAACCCGCTCAGCTCCAAATGCAGGCTGAGTTTCTGTATGAGTGAATCTCAGAGGTCAGTGTGTTAGTAGTCATACAGAAATATCTGCTGAGTTATCAATAACTTTGATCAGTTTCTGCCCAGTTTGGCAGAGCTGCAGTTTCTCTCTCTCTCTCTCCTGCTGCTGTCTGCATGTCGGTGCTATGCAGGGATGGGCTGAGTCACACAGGAAAGATGCTGTGATCATGCTCAGTCAGAGCGCTTAAACTGTAACACACACACACACACTATAGAGTCTAAAACTCAGATGTGAACTTTGCTTGAGTTTCTATCTCAGGAGGTTTTGAGGTGATTCATTGAGACGTTTCAGTCACTTCTAAACTGAGCTCTGCTGTTTTGAATTTGTAGTTTCTCACCAAACAGAAGAGCTTTTCCAAATGTGCAATCGTCATCGATATGAATGCATGTATCATTACCATTTAAATATGTAGAGTAGACATGCAGCATCAGCAGATATGAAGATTTCTGCAGGTCCAGTTATCAGCCTGAGGAGTGAAGCATTAATCATCATGCAGCGACAGTTTCTGACAGTTTCAGAGACGTGTTTTGAAAGAAGCAGACGGTGAAAGGATGGTTTGATGTTTATATTTAGGAGGTTTGTTTGTTTGTTTGGTCTGGCTCTAGAATAAACAGACTGTTATAGTGAGAGTAGCAGGTAACTTCTGTTACCATGGAAACCTGATCTTTGATGGTGTATATATCAGTACTGGTCGGCATGTGTCAGAGAAACTCACTGTAATATGTAAATCCTGCTTTGACCTTGAATTAACCTCTATTAAAATCAGAATAGTTTTAATAACCTCTGATCGGTTCCTCTGAGTTTCCGTCCTCCACAGTCTGGAGTTGCAGCGTCGTCCCGCCCCACTTTCACAGGGCGTTAAAAAAAACCCTCCTCTCCCACTCGTCATAAAACCTGCCTCGGTGGTGCAGCGGTGCATCCCTCGACAGCCCCGCTCCACCGTCCCCCTGTGGCTGTCCATCATGTTAAGTGGCATTTACAGTGTCTGGGACAGTAGCCGTCAGAGGCGAGAAGAGGCTCTGGCTGCCTCAGCAGACCTGACAGTGATCGATGTGGTCATTTTAGAAAGGCTATTTCTGGACTCCTGTGTGCATGTGTGAGACAGCCAGAGCGCCGTGTGTCAGGGCCCCGGCTAATGCTCAGTATTCTGACCGCTCACCTCAATCTACGTCCATTTATTCTCAGGCAAACAGCCACGGCCGGGAGAGTAAACAAACACAGCGCTTGATTAGGTTTGGCAGCAGACGTGTTTTCGCTCAGGGCCGTTTTGATTTTCGCAGTTTTCCCCTCATTGTGGAGAGGCCTGAGGAAGTCTGTGCGAGGGTTCGGCCGACCGCTGCGGGGGTGATTGGGCTGGAATCAGATAAGAGTGAATGTACAGAGGAGGTCACAGCCTACGCCACAGAAAGGTTAAATAGTTCAGAGTTTGGACCAGCGAACAAAACAACTTCAACAACTCAGGGAGCGGCTGGAACCTCCGAACAGATCGGCCCATAAATGTGGAATCAAATCATCGGCCCGGGTGGAACAGATAGTCGGTCCAAATGGTGCTGAAGAAGTCAGAACTGTGGGCGGGAATAAAAACCATTAAAGTTGGAGGACTGAGGGTTTACCTGAGGTCAAACTCGGAGTTAAAGTGCTCTTCATGTTACCGTTCATTCACTTTACCTGAGAGAAGTCTGAATTGGACTGAAACACTCAGATGTCACTCAGTAGATGCTGTTAAATACTCATCATAGTTGTTTCCTCCTGCTGTTTTCTGGCTGTTGAATGAAATAATCCAGACTGTGGTTCATGTAGATTCCTTCAGCATTGAGAAGATAGTTTCCTTGTTCTGCTGAACTCTTACCTGATGTCACCCTGAACAAACAGGTTTTCACTCCTCAGTCATGCAGGTCAAACTATTACACTATAATGTTGTTACAGTTACAGAGTTATGGGGCTGTTTAGAAGGGAAGTTGGTTCATTATTGTTGATGATGATGATCATGTTTGGAGTCACCTCAGGAGACTCTGATTCAGATCAGCTTCAACACCAAATTGAAACTGAGTATCAGTGATTAAAAGACCTTTTTTTCACAGTGATGTATGTCCTCAGCTGATCGTTCCTGCGTGGGAAAACAGTTTAGGTGGAGACTGATGACTGCAGCTGTGATACAAACATAGACATACAAGAATACAGATGTTAATAGTTTCTGATAGAGTCGTCCTATTTGGATTATAATCTAAGATCAAACCCACCCTGTCCTGTGAGTTTACTGTGAGGTTTGTTCATTAAGATCTAAAGGAGTCGTTGTAGGAATCAGAGCTGTTCGTTTGTGCACAGAGGTGGTTGTTAGTTTACAGTGAAGCTTCTAAGAGAAGTCAGAGTGTCTGTAAGAAACTACATCAGCAGTCCTGGTGAAGTTTATGACCCGGTCAGTTGACTTCAAAACGGAGACTCTCTAACAACTTTAACTTGGACCTGCAGCTTTGACTAAAACATGAACGTGTGATCGAAGGTTCTGCTGGTTTAGTCTTCATGGCTCTTCCATGCTGCCGTATGTCTTTAACCTCTGCTGCTCCTCACCTGCAGTGTGTGTGAAGCATAAAGGTGTGATATTTGGGAAAGGTGGTTCTGATTCTTCCTCAGATGATATAACAGACAGATGTGTCAGTCTAACACAGAGCTGTCAGGGTGGAACAGCCCAGTGTGTGTGTGTGTGTATATGAGACATTCATCAGCCCTGCCTCTTCACACCCCTGCTCCATATACTCCCACAGTGGACGTAGATATCACGTCAGACACTTCACCTTTCAGTTCTCCCATTATTGAGTTTTGTGCTCGATGATGAGAAGAGCTGCAGATGTTTTGAAACAGGTCCTTCTACAGTAGAAATCAAGAATAAACAAAAACGAATAAAACACATCTCACATCTGTGAATCCGGCTGATCCTGAATCCGGCTGTTTATCCACCTGTGTTTTGAACACCTGTGGTGATGCCACGGCTGCTTCTTGGTGGCTGTTGATCAGAGCAGGTTTGACTCCTGCAGTGTCACTTCCTCAGCACAGACTCAGACTTTGTTTTTGACTCATTCACTCGCTCTCTTTGTCTCCCCCTCAGCACACAGACTCTCTCCCGCCCCCCCCTTTTCCTACTCTTGTGTCTCTGACAGCCGCAGGGAAAACAATAAACACACACCGTCTCCTCAGAGAGCTGCTGTACGAGGCCGACAGCACGCTGCCTTGTTGACAGACCGCCTGCCTGTGGCTCAGCGCCTGTTTTAGAGGCCAAAGGCTCTACTACTACCACTGACTGCGACTGTGCAGACAAGCAGCCCGCCAGCAAACCAGTCAGTCAGCCATCCAGCCTGTCTGCCCTCGCTGCTTCAGGCACATTAGCCCTCAGCAGGCTTGGCAGCAGCCCGCTCTCATCACAATAACGGCGGTTAGATAAGGCCAACTGACAAAGGGTCGGAGACAAATAGAGTCACGTTCTCTCTCCGTGTTCAGACTCTGAGATGAGGGTGACGGGCTGGGGGGTCAAAGTTAACTCTAGACCTTCATGTTGACCTCCTTAGACTGAAATCTCAGAGATGTATCACAGAGGAACGAAGCTCTGAGCAGCTTTAGCACCAGTGTTTTGATCCAGTCGGCTCCCTCTCCGGGTGTTTTCATAGATATTGTCTGGGTGCCAGATGTTGCTCAATGCGTAGCTGGATAATAGTGCGTTTCAGTCTGCAGGTGTACATTAGGCTTGTTTCTACATGAGTCACTTTGTTATTCCTTCCCAGCGTTCACTCTGTCAGACCGTCATCGTCGGTTTGTTTGGGGGGTTTCCTCGGTCACTGTTTGAAAAGGTTTGTTGGGTTTAGGGTTGATGGATCTGCTTTTATCGTGGATCATGTGACTGAAACTTAATGAGGATCTTTAATCTAGACTCTGAGCACAGTCCAGCTTTAGGTTCATTTACTCACAGGTACAGATGGAGTCTACTGTCTGTACTCTCCATCATCTCTATTTCTGCATGTCCTCTCCAAGCTTGCAGATACAGATCAAATGTAGAAGTACCACCAGAGGTTCTGGGGTGAGTAGGGTCCATAGTTCAAACCATAGACAGTAGATGAGGTAGGGAAGAGGGAAGAGGGAGCAGGAAAGGAACCACAAGCTGGACACGACCCGAGCTGAACACCAGCCTCCACAAACAGGGTGTGTGCACAGAACGATCAGTCAGTCAGAGTGACGTCGTTTCTGTTTGTCTGTGTCTCTCATGTTGATGTGATGGAGGTCCAGAACTTCAGAAAATCAGCTCTCATTCACTGTGAAATAGTACAGCGATTGCACCCCATTGATAATCAGAACTGATCAGTACTGATGGTTCACAGTCTACACACAGACAGTGTGATTATACTGAGCTGGTCCAAACGTCTTCTGTAATAGTTCCACTGAAATGATGCAGATCATGACTGACGCTCCAGAATACTGACCATCTTCTGACGTAGGAGCGTGACGTTCTCCTCTGATATTAGTCAGCATGGCCTGAACATGATGATACTGATGTTTACCTGACACATTAGTGAGTTCCTGTTTGACTCAGACCAGGATCCAGTTTCAGGTCATCCTCTGTGTTTGAGCAGGTCAGAGGAAGTGTTCCTGCTCTCTCTCTGCAGGGTCTCAGTGAATCACATCCACTCTTTTTTTAGTTATGTGTGGTTAGTGTTGCCACTCTCCTGTAGCTGTATTTGCGTGAGTAAATGGATGTTGTACCTGAACAGCAGTCTGGAGAAAGACAATACTGACACAGTGAACTGTTTAACTTCACCCCTTCAGCCAGTAGAGTCTGAGGAGAGGAGTATTGAGAAAAGTTAATCATGCAGCCTGTGCAGATGTTGTTGGTGCCCTCCATGTTTTTCTCTTAATTATAGATCACTCCTCCTCATGCAGCCAAATTCAGACTCTGAAGTTTGCGCATCCTCGTCTCAGAGTCTTCACAGGTGGACTGTTACCTTTCTCATGCTCATGTTAGTTTAAAGCAGAGCGAGTGTTTTAGGAAACACCAACAGCTGAACGTTTTTCCATCGATCTGCGATCACCAAAGGTCGAACCATGTCGACTTTTGTTCATCTTCATATCCAGTTTGGAACAAACTTCACCTCTTGTTTTGAACCCGGTGCCCTACCTCTGTGAACACCTGTGTGTGAATGCTTTCTGTCGACCTCTAGACTCCAGTGGTCCGCGTGTCTCACCTCCCTCTGTCTCTCCGCAGGAACACCATCTCCAGCGGGCCATCTCGGCGCAGCAGGTGTACGGCGAGAAGCGGGACAACATGGTCATCCCGGTCCCCGAGGCAGAGAGCAACATCACCTACTACGACTCCCTCTACCCTGGGGACTACAAGATGCCAAAGCAGCTAATTCACATACAGCGTAAGTAAATCCTCTTCTGTTACATGTGTGTGTGCGGGTGGATAACTTTGAGAGTGTAAATCTGGTTTGTCTGAGCCTGTAACTGGGGGGTCATGTTGAGAGTTCAGAGTCTCCCGTCAGCTCAGACTCTGGTTGATTTCTGGATGAATCTGCAGTTTTTGGTGGGTGTGGTCAGCTGTGTGAGACCTTGGACTGGATCATGAAGGGGTTCTGCTGGTTCTGCTGGATGTCGGTCCCTTTAACAGCAGCAGGCGGGTGTTTTATGAGCTCTCACTGACTCGTCATGTGTTTGTCAGAGTAAATGAGTTTGTGAGATCGGGCCGTTCAGTAACCATATCAGAGGAAAATGAGTCGGCTCTCTGACTCGGTTCACAAGTGGTTTCTGCGATGGTTCTTCAAAAGGGAAGCAGAGACGTGTTCTCAGTGACATGACAAAGAAATCCTGGACTGAACAGTCGTGAACTAACATCCAGACGTTTCTCTCAGTTTTCACTTTATAACAGAGGAAAGCAGATTTGTATGGACAGGATCATCAGTCATATTTAATTCCTGCAGTGTTCTCGCTCTTTAAGCCTCATCAATAACTATACTCCCAATCTGCCATCTGCACTTTTCTCAAAGGCAGCTCAATATAAAAACAATTTCTGTCTCAATTAAATCCGAGTTTAAACCAAAGTGTGGTTCGCTGTGAGTCTGGAGGCTTTTGTTTGGGAACAATAAAGGAAATTTATCGATTTAAAATCACAGAGACTCAGTTTGAGAGAGTTTTTTTCTCAGAGGAACTAAAGTTTACATTTTCTTCTCAGTTGGTTTATAATCACGTCAACATCAAACTCATGAAACGTGCAGAAAGTCACACGTAAGGGTTCGTCTGAGAGGCTGAGGATGGAGCTTTAAAAGTCCTCTGTGAAACTGTCCGCTCAGAGTAAACAGGCGGTTCTTCTTCTTCTCTGCGTGATCCTCACACCCTCAGATGTCTGCAGGAGTAATTATCCCTGATCATCGTGGAGTTTGTCTCTCACCTGAGGACCCCACAGACAGACACTGTCATATTAAAGTTTGTGTGAACTAAGAGGATCAGACTGAGCTCAGGACCGTCGTCTGCATCAGTCTCTACTGTTGTCATGGTGGACAGAAACGTCTTCTGTTCATGTCTGTTCTTCAGCTGTTTCATGTCTTCACACCGACTCGTCTGCAGGAGAATTCCTCCTCAGTTAGAAATGTTTGGGTCTAAAAATCAGCCGTATGTCGTCTGGAGCTGACTGATGGTGTGAAGTGCAGCTGATGTTTGAACCAGATGTCCTGGTGTAGCACTGTGTGGTCTCTGTGTAACGGCTGGTGTGTGGATGAATGGATGATCAGCACAGGTTTGTGGACTTGTTGGAGGACTGAGGTCCGGTGCTGTCAGGAAACCCGTCCGACATTCACCCTCAGACTGAACCAATCAGCCTCGTTGGATTACCACTCAGTTTTTCCTCTCTAATGATCAGTAAAAACTCCTCCCTGTAGCTTTAAGTAGCTGGTTTCTCAGCTCACAGCTCCCCAACAAACAGAGAAACACCAACTGTAAACACGTTCATATCTGAGTGTTTTAAATGTGTTCAGATGTTCATGCAGATACTTGAGGTGGTGATAAAACCTGCTGCTGCTGTTTCTGATTGGATCAGGACAGCTCTGTGTTTGATCTGAAACACACTGACTGACTGACTGACTGTGTGGGTGGAGACCTTGGCTCCGTGTGGGAGAGTGTCACTGACTGTGAACGTCTCTGTGTGACCCTGAAAACACTGAATAATCACGTTTGGGTTCTTCAGTTCAGATGTGGGTTTGAGGAGTCTGAAAGTGGGACTCTGACGATGACGTTTACGTGAACCTGGCTGGAAACTCTCTGCATGTGGAGCCTCCGCTCATTATTGGACCAATTAACTAAGTTTACTGTGAAGCTGGAGGTCAAAGGTGACGCTCACCTCATCGCTGTGAAGTGCTAAGTTTTCACAAATGTGATTGTCGTTTCTGCGGGTTGATTTGCGTTTTCCTTAAATGTTCAGGTGTCACACACTGTTTCTATCTCTGTGTAGAAACTGAGAAGATGCTGTGAAGGTGTGAGGGTCTGCTGCATGATGTTTCAGAGAAGTCAGTGTGGAGGAAATGTGCAAGAGAGCGATTTAGTAACCTGGTTGAGGCGAGGTGACGAAAGCTCATGACGGCAGACTCCTTCTGAGTCTCTCTGAACCAGCTGGAGGCCGTCAGTGAAGGTCTGCTGTTTTTTTTAGGATGATGGAGTTACCTGCTCGGCTCACCCGAGTACAGATGCTGGCAGCGTGTTGAAGTGTGTCACAATCGGTGTTTACCTTCTACCTCAGCACACTTTGTAAATGCAGCAGTGCTTCTCCAGGTTCCTGTTCACGGTCGGGTTCAGAACTTTAGTAGAACCTTTTTTCTGATCTTCTTCTCTCCTGTCAGTGACCTAACTCTGTTTCCTCTCCTGCAGCTTTCAGCTTGGACGCAGAGCAGCCAGACTACGACCTGGACTTGGACGACGAGGCGTTTGTCATCAAGCTGAAGAAGAAGATGGAGATCAGTTTCCTGCAGTTCGAGGAGATGATCGACCGTCTGGAGAAAGGCAGTGGACAGCAGGTGAGTCCTTCTCTCCTCACCTTAGAAAAACAGACACATTAAACAGTTTCACCTCCACCCTCACCATCTTCTCATCTCCTGTCTGTGTCCCTCAGCTCGTGAGCCTTCAGGAGGCCAAACTGCTGCTGAAGGAGGATGACGAGCTCATCAAGGAGGTCTTCGAATACTGGAGCCGCAAGAGGAAAAACAGCAAGGGGAACACGCTGATCTACAACGTGAAGCAGGAGAAACGGGACGGCTCCAGCACCAACGACCCGTACGTGGCCTTCAGACGACGGACAGAGAAGATGCAAACCAGGAAGGTCAGTGTCTCCACTAACCCTCACAGAGATCAATCCTTAATGGATAGATGTGAAGGAGCAGATCAGGAGGCGTGAGGGTGGTCCGAGTCTGAGGCCTGAAAGATATGATGTTTGAGTCCCATTTTTAAAACCATAAAAGAAAGAAGAGAAAGTTAGCGGACAGAAACTCTTAAACTCTCTGAAGTGTTAAACTTGTCTGCTGCACACGGTGTGAGGGGTTTCTTCATTAAAGCTCAGGTTTTCATCTGAAGGATCGATCTGCCACCAAGTGGTCAGGAGAAGAAATAACTCAGACCTCAGCAACACTTTTTTAAATTCCTAAAAACTCTGAAACGCTTTTAAATCTTTGTCATTCTGGACTTTCCTCATAATAAAATCTCACTCGTTATCGTCTTTTTCCCCCCAAACTGCAGAACCGTAAGAATGACGAAGCGTCCTACGAGAAGATGCTGAAACTCCGCAGGGATCTGAGCCGAGCAGTGACCATCCTGGAAATGATCAAGAGGAGGGAGAAGAGCAAGAGGGAGCTGCTGCACCTCACACTGGAGATCTTTGAGAAGAGGCGAGTCTTTCTGCGCTCCCGCCACAGCGCTGCAAAATGCATGAAAAATAACACCTTAAAGTGTACAACCGCAGACGAGTAGGTTCAAAGAGAGAGAGTCCGACACGGACCCGCGTCGAGTACATCTGAGACCCGAGGAGAACCAAAGCAGCAGGCTGACCCGTCTCTGTCCTCTTTCCTCCAACAGGAACGTCATGTCAGACTTCGGCGGAGAGGTGATGGCCGAGGTCTTGGCTGAGCGGGCGCTGGTGAGGCCGCAGATCATCCCTCTGGTCCCTCTCACCAACCAGTACCGACACCAGGACCACATGGACCTCAAGGACTACAAGTCCAAGGTGAGGCTTTGGATGGATTTGATTCTGGACATTTCACTGAAGCTTTGTGTCTTTTTGTTTGTTTCTCACAGTTTTTGTTTGTTTTTAACTTCTCTGCTCCCTTCAGCCCGAGAAGTCTGAAGTTCCCCGACAGAAGAGGAAGTACGAGAAGAAGCAGAAGGTGCTGCCTCTGTCGTCAGGAGCCCCTCACCACCAGGGTCCTGTGGTCTTCAATGCAAAAGACCTCAACCAGTACGACTTCCCCAGCTCAGACGACGAGCCCTTCTCCCAGGTATGACCCCTGACCTCTCTGACACAGATGTGATCAACACTGGACTCTGATGAGATGAACTTCTATCTCTGTATGAGCCTGAAGAAGTCCTAAAAACTCTTAAAAAGTCTGAAACTGTGACTGTAAACACGCAGCGGCTCTTGTTTTGTTTATTTGGACCTGAGTGGAAAATGTCAAAGTGAGAAACTGGACCGAACACCACGACAACATGACTCCAGACCTTCATCACAAGGCTCTGAGCTCCACCTCAGACTCGGTCCTGATAGAACCAATCAGAAGGGACTGTGTTGGGTTCACGTTAGAGCAAAAACTGACCCTCAGACTGACCTTTGACCTCTGTGCCCACAGCTGCACTCAGGCTCATCAGAAGCAGAGGAGGAGAACGACCCAGACGGTGCCTACGCCTTTCGCAGGAGGGCAGGCTGCCAGTACTACTCTGTAAGTACCGCGGGCTTCGTTTATACAGGGGGCAATAAAGGGGGGCTAGAAAGGTCTCATTAGAGGGGCCACGAAGATCTGGTCTCAGGTTTCTGACACCGAGCCTCCTGTTTGTACGCAGACTCATCAGAACCGCGTGGGGAGCTGGCCGTGGTGTGGACCCTGGGAGGACGGTTTGGCGGAAGCTCGCTTTCGCTACAGTCTCACTACGCTCACTGTGCCGCGGCGCTGCCTGGGCATGGCTCGGCGCCGCGTGGGACGAGGCGGCAGGTCAGTACGGTTCTTGAAGACTGTTTTTAAGAGGTTCTGGTCCAAAAGCGTGCAGCTATAACTTCAGTGATGAATTAACTAAATGATTGACTTTGAGAATCAGTAAATGAAGTTCAGGAAAGTTTAAACTCTGAACTCTTGGAGGAACCAGAACAACCGACCCGTCCAAACTCAGACTTAAGCTCCTCCCTCTCCTCTCCTCACAGGGTGCTGCTGGACCGGGCATACACGGACTTTGACAACATTTTCCACGGACTGGATCAAGACATGCTCGACCTGGCTCTCCCGCCCTCTCCTCCTCCTCCTCCTCCCCCTCCTCCTCCTACAACTACTTCACGCTCGCCGGCCGCCAACAAGTTCGCCAGTACCTCAGAAACAAATACCTCAGACAGAAGCTCCTCCCCTCTCTCCTCCTCCTCCCCCTCTTCCACGGACCTCAGTCAGATACTGTTGAATATAAAGTCGTGCCGGTGGAGGCACTTTAGACCACGGACACTACCACTACACGAGCTGGACAATGCCCACCCGCTATTCAGGAAGTTGAGTCGAGGCCTGAAGCGCTCGCTCTCGGCCTCCACAGGCGGGGGGCAGGCCGGCCCCCAGCGTCCGCCGAGGGTCGTCCCTGCGCCCACGCCCACTGCTGGTAAGTGGAGGAACTTCAGTCGTGACTCTTTAACCTCTAGACCTTAAAAGAGAAAGAAAGAAAACTTTTATTTTTCACCTTTAGGACAGGGCGGAGTCAGGTCGCAGCAGCTCTTCTTGTTCAGATCTATGTGGAAAACATCTACGTATTGATCATCCACGGAGGATAGATAATAGGAGAATAGATGTGACCAGAAACTTCAGGTTCTGTTCTGTCCGCAGAGAGCAGCTGTGGTTAAAGATCTCATTGTCCGGGGCAGTATTTTCATAAGGTGATTCAGAGTGGGGGGTTATATGAAGCGTGATCTCTGAGGACGAGCTGTGACTCATGAGGAGTCGTGGATCCTGTGAAACCGGGCGCTGAAAGGCTCTCAGGGACCAAGAGGATCATCAATACTGAGGCAGAAAGCCGCGTAATCGTCTGAAATGTGGGAACAGACGTTTGAATCGATAGAAAATCTCTAAAGAAAGATTGAACTGGAGTCACTGGGATGTAGACCGGACTCACACTGGGAACCACACGTCTGAAAACTTGTTGGTTTTTGTCGTTGTTGTCGAGTTTGTGTCGCTGACGTCAGCGTGTCTCCAAACAGCAGCAGGTGTGTCTGAACACTCCGACAATAAGAGCCGAAAATAGCTGCACTAATATTCACATCCTTTCACACTCCCACTGCTTTTCCCATCAGCGACGTGATTGGTCCACTGACACGGCTCCTCCCCCTGCTGTTTGACATGTTTCTGTGTGAGGTGGTTCATTCAGTCGAGGTGTAGAGTACAGAGGAAGTTTGTCCTCATGGTTACTCTCCACTGTTTAGGATTCTGTCAGTAACTGCTGCAGATGTTTGTTCACACATGTCACCTGTTGGATGTGAGTTTTAGCTTCATTTTTACAGACAGGTAATTATTGTTCTCTTAAACGGACACTTACATAAAGATAGAAGACCCTGAACTTCAATGCTCTCTTGAACGTAAACGAGGTAAATAAACGAGCGATATTCCTCATTCTGGAGGATCAGGATTTCTTTGTTTTGGAGCCTCACAGACGCCGCTCTCGTTGCTCCTGATTGGACGCTTCCATCCAGAAATCCACAAAGAAGAAAAGACAGTTTTTGATTGGTGGACAGGCCGACCCAAACTGATGTTCTGATTTGCTTTTTTTTTAATTTGCTTTTTAGTCTCTGAAAAGATGAACATGTTGCTGTGTTTTCAGTGAACTATCAAAAATCAAAACAGTTCAGAGGGAATTTAAAGCCGTCAGCTGATCCAGATCTGTCTTACAAACTAAAGTGATTGTTTTAATCTTTCCCAGATGATGCTTTGACTCTGAAATCTCTCTCTCTCTCTCTCTCTCTCTCAGCTTTCACAGCCGAACAGTACCAGCAGCATCAGGAGCAGCTGGCCCTGATGCAGAAACACCAGCTGGAGCAGATCCAGCTGCAACAGCAAGCCAACAGCACCCCCACTGCGAACAGCACACATGTCAGTATCTAAAGCCGTCACGCTCTCGTGTCTCTGTTCCTGTTTTTTAATCCCGTCACTGACTTTTCCCTCCTCTGCCTCCGTCAGAGTTTGGCGAATACGTTGGACCAGGCCAGCGCCCAGTTCGCCGCCTCGGCCCTCGTCACCGCCGATCAACTGCTGGCTCTGAAATCCAAGGAGGAGCTGGCCCTGGGAGGCGGAGTCAACGGCGTCCTCTCCCCCTCAGGTATGAAGAGCCTTGACTTGACGTGTGCGGGGACTTGTCAGGGAGCTGGGCTTAAAGAGAGGCAGCAGGTGAATAAAGAGGGTCCGGCCCCGCTGCAGGAAGACCACCAACAAGTTTTTCTGGTTCTCGTAAAGCGATGACTTCCACTAAAGAGCAGCTCTGTCCTCTCTTTACTGAACCTGACCGTTACCTTTGATTATAATCTGATGAGCCTGTAAAATCATGATTATTTAAACCAACAGAAACCAGAGTTTGGCTCCTGGAGCATCAAAAAAACCACAACCACAAAGTTTTTAAAGCGAAACACTCAGAGTGAACTTGACTTACGAGCTGCGGAGCGTTGACACTGAGCAGACAGAGAGGCTGAAGTCAAAAACGACCATAATTCAGAGCAGATAACAGCTCAGAGCAGCAGCAGCAGCAGCTCCTCTAAACCTCCATAACTGATGTTTTTTCAGGCTGCAGGATTCTCAGGATAAGAGAGGAAAGTGACAGAATGAGGATTTTCATTTAAAGATCAGTCAGATTAAATTATCGCCGTCCTGCACAGACCAGGTACCTCAGACTGCTGGAGGGTCTGAATGTGCAGCTGCAGGAGGACACGGGTGACTTCAGCAGCAGCTCCTCCAGGACCCGGTCCTCTCAGTGTAGGGCTCTAGGTTTCAGGGTGGTCCGGTCTCCAAGAACATTTGATAATCTGAACCCTGTATCTCCAAACCCCCACCCTCCTCACCCATCACCACCACCCCCTCACCCCCTCCACACCACCCGGCCTCTTCTCACCCCCAGGTGTCTACAAGGGCTTGCACCTCTCAAGCACAGCGTCCCCTTCCCCCGCCACCCCGGCTCCTCCCACCACTACCCCGACACCCGCCCTGCTCCACCCCTGCACCACCAGCTCCACCTCCGCCACCAGTAACAACAACGGCACCGCCCACCCTGCCAACACCACTACCGCCACCGCCACCACTCAGGTCCTGCTGGGAAACAACAACAGCCTCCGTCTGGGCGTTCCCCCGGGAAAGCGCGTCCACGCCCCCCGGACGCTGAGCGCCACCATGCCGACATCCGCCTTAAAGCTCGCCCATGCAGCCGCCACCGCCAACTGTCAGAAACCTAAGGTCACTACAGCCGCAGCCTCGCCGCTGGACATAGTGCCCAGGTGAGAAAAGGACACACTCAGTGTAGCCGCCAGATTAACAGGAAGTAAACGAGGTGATGAGAAATCACTGCAGGTGGAGTTAGTCTGAAAAAAGGTCGCGAGACATCAGGTCGTAAAAATTCAGACGAGTGTTAGAATGAAAAAGTCTGTTTTAAAAAAGTTTCTGGAAACTTTCTCGTTAAAATTCAATCAGCTGTTTGATGTTTTTCTGCATCGATGTTTTTATTTGAGACTGAAAAAGTCGTTTAAACCTTGATTTCTACAGAGTCCATGATTAGTTTATTATTGTGGCTGTTTTAAGAGAAGCTCTTCTCCACCTCAGGAGCTCATGATCACTACTTCATCATCTGCTCCGCTTGGTTAGGGTTTGTGGTTGAACTGTTCTGAGTTCGTTATGGTCTGAAAACACCTGAAATTAGAGGAGATAAATGAGGAGGAGATGAATCTCTCTGTAAAGTTACTGTAAGAAACAGAAACTCTTAAATCTGTCTTTGGTATTTATGATTAATGATCACGTCTGCAAGTTAAAGTTAAAAGTGAAGAGCTGTGTTGGATTTATTAGACCTACAGTTGGTGGTCCAAAACAGTCCAAAAAAAACAGTATACAGTAACGTGTCAAAGTAAGAGAAGAATAAGAGTCATTAAGGCGATTCAAAAGTGATTCCACAGAGGGGGGAGGATGGTCGTGAATCTGGGCAGAAGAGCAGAAACTTTAAAATGAAGAATCATGAAAGTCTAACGGGCCCGTTCACACCGAGCGCGGGTCAAATCATCTACTCGCTTAATTCGCGCGAATGAAAAATATTTACTCGCTTCATTCGCGCGAAAGAAAAATATATACTCGCTTCATTCGCGCGAAAGAAAAATATGTACTCGCTTCATTCGCGCGAATGAAAAATATTTACTCGCTTCATTCGCGCGAAAGAAAAATATGTACTCGCTTCATTCGCGCAAAAGAAAAATATGTACTCGCTTCATTCGCGCGAATGAAAAATATTTACTCGCTTCATTCGCGCGAAAGAAAAATATGTACTCGCTTCATTCGCGCGAAAGAAAAATATGTACTCGCTTCATTCGCAAGAATAATTTAGTCCATTATTAATCACAATAATAATAACTATTTTTATAGCACTTTTAAAAACAGAAGTTTACAAAGTGCTTTGACAAACAGTCGTAAATCACAGACCATCATGGAAATAAAAACAAAAGCTCAGTTACAAATAAGGTCTCCAAATTGAAGGAGAATTTCATTTGTCATAAGAAACCCAGACAACAGAGTGCTTATAATCCGTGGATAGCCACCAATGCTAATTTCAACAGTGATCCTTGCCAATTCAATCGGCGGGATCAAGTGATAGACAACAGTTTTTCACAACTTACCAGATAATCCTCCTCACACACTTTAAAAAAGCTGTAATATGAGAGGGGGAGAGTCTACATCAAGCGTGGTCGGAGTGGACCACATTCAGCAGATCGCTGCTTAAGTCCACAACGGCCATGTAGGCGTCGCCGTGTCTGGGTCTACTCATATAGCTGCGCCCAGATGACGGCCGTTTCCAGCTGTATTTTTGGGTTACCCGAACCCAATTTTCCGACCTGTTGGTGAGGGTCGTTACCAGGATATCCCCCCAGGATACCGATTACAGACGCTCTATCCCAGCTGCAGAGCGCCTGTCCATCTGTCTACTGTGAGTAAAAGGGTTTGTGTTTATATTTTCGCACCAATCAACACCTTCCGGTCTGTTTTCGTACGTCACCTGGGAACCTTCGTGGTGATCGGTTATCAAAACACGTCTGTTTGCTCAAGTTAAGATATTTTAAACTCTCGCGTCCGCTCAATTTGCGCGAATAACTCGCCCAGTTCGCATCATTCGCGCCGCCGAAGTACTACGAGCGTCTAATCACGTCTACGCATTGACTGAACATGTAGTTGATGATTTTACTCATGTTTGGCGTGAACTCCTCCATGATGATGTAACTCTGTATCTGACCGTGTCCTCTCTTTGTCTGCAGGGAGAACCACGAACAAGACAAGCCAGCACTGAACAGTCTATCAGAGAACACAATGGCCATGGAGGTTACGTAGCCTCCTGTGAGCTCGCAGCCCGGAGGACCAGGACCTCCTTTGTCGTTGTTTTTTTTTTTTTTTTTTTTCCTTTGTTTTTTTTTTTAAGGTGCTATGCATCGTTTGATAGTCGTGAAAAAAAGTGGCGGCAGAATGAGCACGGCAAGGCTGGGTTTCCATAAGAACTGTTTTGGGACTTATTGCAATGCTCGTCTCCTCGTACCTTTTCTTTTTTTCTCCCCCCGCCCCCGCTCCCCTTTGTTACTGTTAATAAGAGATCGTCTGTAAATTCTTAATATGACAATTATATGTACAGTACTGCATATTTGTAATACCCCCCCTCCCTGACCCCCCTGTTCTTGTATATAACATTACTTGAATACAGAAATTGTTCATTTGTGATGTTTTGCACTCGAGATATTAAAAAAGAAAATCAAAATTAAAAAGAGAAAACGACAAACTGCAACTGGTGCGAGTATGAGGTGTGAGAAAAATGTATGTCATCACATGCATGGTGCAGAACCTGCTGTTTGATCTATTTATTGTGCCGTGTTTACAGAGCTTTGTTTTCTTCTCCTCCGTTCATCATCCTTTCTTTTTATAAACACTGTACCCCCCCCTCCCCTCCTCTTTCACCGGCTCCCCTTCGAGTCCGTGTTTAGCTCCATGAAAACCATCTGTATTCTTCTGGATGTGGTGAACATGGACGGGTTCTCGGTGTAGATTCAGGCGCAGGAGCGGCTGTGATGTGTCTGTGGTCAGTGGGCATCGGTTTGTCAGTGGGTGAATCAGCTCTTCCATACATTTCTAATTCCTGAGACAAGTAACAAAACAACGGGGAGGAAGACTCTGCTGCTTCTGACCCATCTGAGCACTATGTTTCTGTTGTGAACTGATTGATGCTGCTTTTGTATGAGTTAAGCCTCCAGACGGCGTTATTGACCCCGCCCCCTCACCTTCATCCTCATTTTGTAAAAGGAATATTTTTGTATCGCCCACTTTTTTTATTTCCAAATTCTCCACAAAGACGTCATTCTTTTGTTACTTGTTGATCTAAAGTTTGAAAAAAAAAAAAGAAAAAAACTTAAGGGAGGAAAAAAAAATGCAGTAACTGACATTTATTATCATTCCAGCTTCGACATAATATGGAAAAAAAAAACAACAACATGTATGTATTGAAAGAAAAACAGAAAAAGAATAAAAAGACGGTTTTCTCTACTTAAAAAAAGAAGAAAAAAAAAAAACCAACTCCAGAAGGCTGTCAGGCCATGAACCGTTCTCGGTGCCTTCATTTGGGAAAAAAAAGACAAACCTGAAAAAAGTCGCTCTCTTCTGTGAAGAGTTTGGTACTGAACAAGGCTACTTGTAGTTTTTCTTTGTCTGTACCACAGTCCCAATGCCCATTCCAGTGGCCCAGTTGATTCATGAGTTTTTGTTTGTTTTTGTAGACCCTCATACACACACAAACACACACACACACACACACACACACGGGAAAATACTAAGAACCCTCTTGAATTGTCACAAAATGAAATAAAAATCCAGGGCATTATGTGTTTTGATCAGTATGTCTCGTTATTTGTCGTCTTTGTCTCTCGTGTGTGTTTGGAAAACTGATCCAGGAGGTTTTTTTTTTGTAAGGGGGACACGAAGTCCTCAGGTCTGACCCTCAGAGCAGCTCAGAGGTGTGTCCTCGCTGCTGTCTTTGTGTTTTTCAGACTGTGTTCGACACACAGACGAGGCTTTGACTCCTCACAGGTTCATTTAAACATCGTGTGAATATTTTCAGTTTTTCATAATCCAGAGAAAAACTTTCAACGTTGTTATTAAACTTATTTTAATCTGTATGATTTAAATCGTATAGTTTATAAAAATGACAAATCCATGATCTGTAGTGTTAAGCTGTTGTCCAGTTCTTGGTGGAGGATCATTTACCATTAAAGGGATATTCTGGTGTAAAATTAATTTAGGGTCAAACCCACCGTAACACCGAGTTAGACCCCCCCCTCCAGAGATGAATGTTGTCGACCGCTTGCTTCTCTAGTTATACCAACTTTAGTAACGACTGCAGGATAGAAATACAGAGAGCCACGCCCCCAACCAAAACGCCACTCTATAGCCACAAATAATGCTCAGAACAGCACCTAACTTCATCAACAGGACATATAGGGTCACAGACATAGTACTAGACACCAAACATCTTTTTAACTTTGACTCATTTCTTTAGCAAAGAGACTAAACACAACTCACCTACTCTCTTCCAGCAGACGCTTGTTTGTAGTGAGACCTCAGGCCAGTCCATTACGGACTACAGCGGGGTGCCGCAGCTCAAGGAAGAAAATTTATGATCATTTCTTTATCATTTCCTTGAAGTAATAATCACCATATTAATCATTTTTCAGACGCTGTAGTTCTTCTGTCTTAGCGTCTCGGTCTGATTGTATTTCCATGAAGAAATGATCATAAATTAAGTTCTGCATCAGTGTGGTGCAGCATGATGGTGATGTTGAGGACTAGGGCGCTCTAAAAGAGGCCTTCAGCTGGTCAGTTGTTTTGGGTCAGCTGGTTCTTACAGCACCTTTCAGGTCAGGAGAGTTGACCAATCAGCTGACCGTTCTGGAGTAGTTCTGGTTCTGTGAACAGGAGCCTCTAAGTCTACTTCCTGTTAGACTTGAGACTGTGTCGATTCTGGACTTGGTCAAACACAGCAGATGACCTGACACCCCAGACCATCAAACTTCAGGCTCTGACTCCTGATTTCTAAATGAACTGAGACCTTGGAGTGCTGAGCAACAGTCCAGTTCATACCCCCGATTTTCACCGCATCCGGAATGACAGAGATTGTCACCATCTGACAATTCCTACCGGATCATTTCTGAGGTGAATTTTTCGGCAGATTATGGATAGCAGGAATCTCGTACTCACAAGAACCTGCAGATTCATGTTCAATCACGCGATAACAAGTTGTCTCTCTAAAGACAGACACATAGACATATAGGCAGTAGATTGTGTCCTTCCAGAGGAGGAAATCTACTTCTAGACTTCTAGAATCAGCATCTCCTCATCCATGGTGTCATCAGGGTGAAATGACGTCTAAAAATCTTTCACTTGTTCGTCTCCGCCCGTTTGCATGGTGTGAAATACGATCCTCCTGAAACACGGAGTGTTTTATTTTGAAAAGAAGCCGGATGTTTTATTTTGTGTCTGTGCCCGACTTCCTTTCCAGCACGGGTTAATCTGTGCTGAATTTATCTGCCATGCTCCGGCGTCCAGAAAAAATAGAACTGTTTGGAATTCAGAAAAAACTGTTCTGAATTTGTGGGTAAGTCTGCATGTCTGAGGTTAGACTCTGGTTCAGGGCTGGTCTTAAACCTGGCAGCTGAATCCCCTTTAGGAGAACTCCTGTAATAACTGTTTGCTTATTAAAAATGAATTTCGGTCGATTTCATAAATGTCTTAAAAACTCCTGATCTTGAAGACGTCCCCTTACACTTGAGTTCAGATCTGTGCAGACAGACTGATCTTCACAGTGAGTGTTGTGGAGTTCGTGATGAACATGAGATCTGTTCATTTTAATGGTGCGTTTTGCAGGATGGTGCAGCGCTGACTAAAAACCTCCACCCTGCTGCGCTGCAGTGTAACACTCGAGGTCGTTTAATAACAGAGCAGAAAATCATGTTTGTATTCCGCGTTTGTCGCTGCCCTCCTGCAGCTCTATATTCATTGAAGTGAACAGAAATTGGTCAGGATAAGAGATGATATTAAAATGTAAATTTTACCTTTTAAATGCAGGAAAAAAAAGAGGATAAGAGCTGGAAAATAAATCAGCCCAACTCCCACAGAGAGGCTGTGTTTACGTCGGCCTCACACTGGATCATATTTGAATCTTTGCCTGTAATTGCTTGTCTCAGAAAGATAGAAGAAAGTGAGAAAAAGTGTAAATGCAAACAGTTTCTGAAGAGATATGAGGAAAGCTCATTTGTATTCCTCTGAAAATGTGCATCTGCAGGCAATAAGTTTCTGCAAGAGCTGTTTTAAAACCCTGGAAAGTAATAAATCTTTGCTTTAAATGATGAAACACCGACAGGAGGAGGAGGAACGTCTCTGAGGAAAGTGAGTTTAAAGAAGAGGAAGAACTTCACTGAGGCTGTACCAGAGGAGGCTTTAGATGCTGTTCACACCTGATCTTCAGTCCTGGAGATCAGATCACATCCTTTCCCTCCAGAGATGTCTTTGACCTTCGACCAATCACAATCAAGTATTCAGTCACGTCTGATAAGGTGAATCAACATTTGCTTTAAAACATGAATTATGGATGTCGACTTCATCTCTTTAATTGCGGACTCAGTCTGAAGATAATGACCTTTTTTCCTGCCTGTGATGAGTTTCCACTTTGATGGCGGTCTCTGACATCAGTGGCGTTTACTCCCGCTGTTATAAAAGCGTGTTTGATGACACTGGATTGAGGTTGTTTTTTTATCAAGCTCCATCAAAAGCAGCAGAGAGCCGCTCATAAAAGAAGCTTTCACACCACGGCACCACGGATCGGAGCGTCATGTTTTCGGACTCCATCTCCACAGGCCGCCTTTGTGTCTTCATCGACACTCGCAGCTTTCAATTATCAGGAGACCTAATGAAGAGCAGACACTCTCCGACTCTGTGGACACACAGGTTCATTAAGGCTGATGAGTCAGAGCAAGGAGAGAGAGGAAGGTCGTCCAGATGACGGTCCGCTTTGTCAAGAGTGAACCATAGACTGTATCTAGAATGGACGCCATCTGCCTCCTCGCTGGGTGAAGCCACTTTGAGAACAGCGCCCTCTGGTGACGGGCTGCAGTAAAGGTCATAAATCCTACCTGCTCCAGCAAGCCCCGCCCACAAACAGTAATACATAAATAATATAACTAATAACTATTGACTGATATGAAAAGCTTTTTTGTAAATGCACCACAAAAAAGAAATCAGCCGCCAACATGACCCGGTTCTGTACATCTCATGTTCCCTCAGAGGGCGGCAGGATGAGGAGGGATTATTGGTGACTGGGTTTTGCCCTTAGAGTGTATGTCTGTGTTTGTGTACTTGTCAGCGATGGAAAAGGAGGACACTTTCTGTTCATTTCACTTGTTCATACACTCCCTTATTCCAGCTGTGTGTGTGTGTGTGTCCTAACTCGTAGTTACAGAGGGATTATTGTGGGTCATCAGAGGTCACATCCTCCTCTCTTAATCTGTATTTTTCTGCTTTATACTCAGAAACTCGCTCGACCTCTGTGGTGCTCTGATGCAGCTGTACTTTTATGTCCGTAAAACAGAAAATTGGACCACGTGTTGACGCTCTGCAGAAATTCTGATTTACCTTTAAAGTTTGGAAAATTGTATCCTGAAAGTGAAAAATGTTTATTGGAACTGTGTTTTTAACTTTGACTCATTTCTTTAGCAAAGAGACTAAACACAACTCACCTACTCTCTTCCAGCAGACGCTTGTTTGTAGTGAGACCTCAGGCCAGTCCATTATGGACTACAGCGGGGTGCCGCAGCTCAAGGAAGAACATTTCAGCTGTCCTCATAAAACATAAAATGACATTTTCAGTTTCTGTCGTCTCTTATGACAACATTTAGATTTTAAGTGATTTGCAAACCTTAAAAATCTGTTTCATAAACATTTACAGTCTCTTTTAGGGCTGTAAAATGACTTAAACTTACAGATCACTTAAACTCTTTAAAAATTTGATTATGACTTCAAAATGTATGAAACCACTTCAGCTCTCATTGTTTGGTCGTAGGCCTCAAACCGGCAGCATCAGCAGTCAGTCGGTTCCCTGGATTTAATATTTTAATCTGTAGGATTAGAAGATCCCACAGATGTTTGAGGAACTCCAGATTTGATATGAGTGTGTGGAGATATTTTTATAGCACCAGTGTGTGTGCATGTGTGTGGTTCTTTGTGTGTTTGTTGTAAACTCTGTGGACTGTTGATCTGGGAGAGTCGTTGAAGTCTGATGCCACCTAGTGGTCAAACTCCTGAAGTGCACTAAGCTTCTTTAACTGGATGGTTTATGGGGAGTTTTCTGACGTTTTCTTCTCAAACCTGTTTTCCCTCTTTATTAATTAGACCCAAGGGGTAAACCCACCCAGGCACTATTGTTATATTATCGATCAAAATATGCAGTTTGATCAGGATCTGTGTTCTATTACTTTTCTCTAATAACAAAGTTGTTTAATTGTTTGGAGATCCCAGAGAAAACCTGGTCTGTGAGCTCTGAACTGAAAAACTAGAGTTGTATGTGTTCTTGAGAAAGGGACAAATTACTACCACGATGAAAATCAATGTAAAAATGACGAATCAAATCTGCATCGGGGGCAAAAATAGTCTGGATGCTGGTCAGACTCTTCTTAATCTGGAGAATAGAGGACTAATCCTTTCAAAAGTTGCAGACAATAAAATCCAGAATGTGCTCTTTGGCAGCTGAAAAATGTCCTCTAACCACTTTCACTGAAAAAAGCTGTTCATCTTTTAGAAACTGGTTTTCCTGACCTGCAGTTCACCTTTGAGGACCTGGGTTTACCCGGACCCCCATGAGAACTCAGATTGGTATTTGTTTTTAATCCGGGAAACTCAGACAGGATGAACTCAGCTCTTGATATTTTCCCTTTTATTTGCTCAGGGAGGGAGAATCAAGCGTTCATTTAAGGCGTTTCTCAGGAACTCTGCTGCGCTCAGGCTGCAGACACAGTCCTGGTTTGTTGGATGTTGAGCAAACAAACTGAAATATTTGGAGGTTTGGTGTCTCTCTCTTGCTCTCTGAAATCTAACTTCAAAGAGAAGCTGCTAAAACACTTTTACTTCCTCGTTTCTGTCTTTCTAAACCTCCAGCTTTTATTGATTATTCATGTCTGAGGTCAGAGGGGAAAGAAAGGCGATCTTTGTCCAACAGGTGGTGAGTGTTTTTATTGGATTAACAGGGTTGGTATACAGGTGACACAGGGAGAGGGAACTCTGGAGAAGTTGACCTGCAGACTCAATAACCTGCTTTCTGAGTTAAAATTACAGGGCGAGTATTAAAATAGGAAAGACAACTTTAAGTGTTACTGTGGTGTCCACTATAGGGTTAAATAAGGTGTAAAATTACATTCAATTACATTAATTTCTGATGTTCACGAGTAGCATGTGTCTGCAGACCTTCAGACTGCACATCTGGGCCTGCAATTCCAAGACTCTTGCTCCAGCATCACCTTGATGAGAACCACCTGTGTGTGTGTGTAATGTAACTGCCAATGATGATTATAACACAAGGGTCCTGGAGGGGAGGTCCCAGAATTGCAGTCCTGAAATTGCAGCCTCCAGCTCTGCAGAAACATCCTTTTTGGGGGCTGTTCACATTGGCATGTAGTGGACTGACAACTGAAAAGTGTGAGTTCGTTGTCAAAATGTGCTTCCCATTATCAATACATTCAAACAGCGGCAGTATCCGAAGACGTCTGGACGCAGAGATACGTCGAAATAAAAACGTTTTTAAGACGAAATCTTACAAACAAAACTGTAAGAAATGGGAAAGTATTAAATAAGTGAGGAAAAACAAAACAACCCGAGGTTATAAAATCACAGAAAGAGTCATCATGATCATGCACGCCCACTGTACAACATCGTAAACATTAGCTTTAAAACCCAGATCTGGGACGTTCAGGTTCAGGTTGTTGTAAACATGTTTGACTCATGTTTGTCAGTGAGTCCGTTCTGCTAACAGTCAAAGAAAAACACGATCAGTTTACAGTGTTAAAATACATGCTACTGCCGCTCAGCGTCGGTCCTCCAAACAAGAACTCTGTCAGCAAAGAGTAAAAGTCACAAACGAGGAATCAGGAAACAGCGGCAGCATTTTACAACCGATTCCCTCCAAGTGTTTAACTTAAAATCCCTACGACTGATGAATAATTAACACGACAATTAGTAGAAACTGACCCTTTAAAAGAGAATTAAAAACCTTGGTTTGTCAGTGTCACTGAATCAAACTACAGATGTGAAAATCTGGGCTGATACCAAATTAAACTTAGTGCTAGTCCAGGCAGGCGACTAACTACTTTGCAATCCACCTTCGCCCCAAACACTGTTACCGGCTGTGGTGTTTACCCGGGGACTCTCCAGGACTCAGGCTTCCAGACTGAAGCTGAAATGTTCTAACGAGAGTTTGTCCATCAGGGGACTCCTTCCGATCAGGACAAAACCTTCTTAGAGACAAACATGAGCTGTTGGCGTTGGTGCGCGGCCCCTCGATGTTCGATTGTTACCAGAACAGATCATTCTGGCTGCTCTGTGATTGGTGGGGAGCTCCTGGACGAGTCTTTTTTGGACTGCCAACAGGTAACACTGAAGTACGTGAAACTGGACGGAGGGCATGGTTGGCCCTGATCGGAGCTGGTCGATTGTTGTGATTCCAGAGTTTGAAGGAAGATGAAGAGAACATGAATGTAGGGTCCATTTTTCAGGCTCCTGTTCCGCACATTTTCTTTTGAATGAAGAAGTTCTGTTTTCACTTAAGGCAGTGAAATGGTTCCTACTGTTGGCAGGACATGGAGTAGAGGTTGTGGTCTTAAATGTCCCGGGTCTAACGGCGTCACCTCAGATCCGGTTGGAGATCATCCTGGTGTTCAGGTTCAGAAAGAATGATTGCAGCTTGCACAGTTTGCACTTCTTCTTCTTTTTCTTCTTACCGTGCCGTCCTTTCTTGTACACTCCATCGTACTTCCCCTCCTCGTCCTCCTCTTCATCCACCCAGGGTACCCACGCCCCTTCGTGCAGGTCCGGGTTGGCTCGCTGGTCATCAGGCGGGAAGTAAACTGGAACGGCTGTTTGGTTATAGTAGACCAGTCTGTCCAGCAGTCGTTTGACCACGTCCGGTCTCTGGTCTGCCAGGTCCTGCCTCTCGCACGGGTCAGCCGTGATGTTGAACAACCAGACGTTTTTGTGGGCGGAGGTTTGGTGGGTCGTTGTTTGGGCTCGCTCAAGGTTCCACCAAGGACCAGGAAGAGTGGCGAGCACCTGAGGATTAAAGTATGAGATCATTGATTGAATCTGATCAGAGAGTAACACCATAACAGTAGGAGATGTTCTACAGTACCTGTGGGGGGACCCAGTCTCCATGACCGGGGTCTCCTGTGAGCAGCTTCCAGTCTCCCACTCTGATGGCGGCTTGGACTGAGGTGTCCCACACTGGCTGGGAGGACGGCGGCTTGAATTTCGGTGTTGGATGGGATTTTGGGAGCTTCGTCCCTTGCCTGGGCGTGTTCTGATGTAGGGACGGCGTCCTTCTGGACTTGAACTTGAGATGAGATTTGAGTTTAGGCTTGGATTTCGGTGGAGGTGGTCTTGTCCACGACAGGTTCTCTGAAATGTTCCTCCTGGATTTTGACCTGACACGTGGTTTCTTCTGAGACTGAGTGTCAGGTCGAGATGTTCCTGAAGCTGATGGAGAACCACTGGAGAAGGACTTATGATGTGGTTTGTAATATGACAGTTTCTGGCTTTGAGGGTGCCTCCTGGTTTTGGTCTTGGTCGTGGGTTTGGGTTTGAGTTTTAATTTTGGGAGGGTTTTCAGTTCGGGTTCAGGAAGAGGCTTGGATTTGAGTTTAGTTTGATGAGGAAACGTCTGAGGTTTCTGGAACTTCTTCACCCTGAACGCCGACTTCTGCTTGGGTTTCTGCCTCAGGATCTTCTTCTTCTGCTTCTTAAAGTTCGGACCTGGACCTTTGGATTTTCTCACTAACAGAGAGTCAAAAACAAAAGGATCATGTAGAAGAAGAAATACTGAATTTTCTGTGACCAGTTTTAAAACCTTACTTCTAGATCGTGACCCTCTATTGACTATTAATAAAACTTCTGTGTTGTTACCGGAGTCTTCCTCTGTGCTGGTGTCCCACTTCATGTTTTGAACTGGAGGTTTGTGCAGAGGGTCGATGTTGTGGAGGATCTCCTGACGAGGCGACTCCTTCCCCTCACTGATGGTGGGCCAAACATCAAACCCGTCCAGGCCCCGGCTCTGAGAGGGAAACAAACACACGGAGTCCGAATGATTCAGATATAACATACTCCTCTGGTACAACAGCAGAGGAAACAGCTTTATTTATATAACAATTCAAAGTGCTTTACACAATGGTCCACTTATTTAGGCAGCAGTTTTGGACAAATGACTTCATCCTGGACTTTCCTTTCAATGCGCTCCACGGTACACAGCTCAAAAGACACCCGAAAAGTAAGCGAAACAAAGAAAAACCTGCAACCAAACAGACACCCTGTTGTTTCTCGATTTATTACAACTCCTCTGGTAACACCAGCAATCCATCACTTCAGGTGCAGGTTCTTTGATTCTGTTTATAATCTGTAAATCAGATAATTGGCTGAAATAATGAGCGGTCCCTCTGCGGCCCCTCTGCGGCCCCTCTGCGGTCCCTGTTACATGTGGTCGAGCTGAAGTACCGTTAAATCTGACGAACAGTGGACACGTTTCCACACGTTGCCAGAAGACAAACTTTTACCCCCAAAGGAATATCTAATCATAAATTTCTTCTGGTTATATCCCATCGAGCTCCTGCCTTACACAGATATTGTTCTGATTTTAGCCAAGATAGTAAGACTTATCTACACTGGCAATAAAAGCTTCTTAAATACTGAGCCAGCAAAGCTCTTTGGGAGCTGTGCTCAGACTGAACTGACGCGCCAATAAAATGAATTTATGCCTGAACTGAAAACACAAATTATCTATAGAGCCACTGTTAGAGACAGAGCACTTAACAAAATGGTCAGGAGCAAATTTATCTCCATGAAAGTGAATAAAAACGGTTTTAAGGTAGCTCCGCATCCCGACCTTTCGACAGAGTTTGAGGCCGAAATGAAGATAAAAGTCGGTCAAGTCTCATGAGCTTTTGAAACTATGAAAAAAAAACTTGTGCACTTAATGAAATCATCGGGAATCAATTCACAGCAAAGCAAATGCCAGCTGAGTCACGGTTTTGGCAGGAAAACAAGAAAAACATACAGAACCGACACCCAGAGTGCAGTGAGGCGGTCGTATCAGTCGCCTGGGTGGCCTCATCTTTACATCTGCTCTGCTTTAAGGAGCTGTAAAATGGTCGGTGATGTTCCCCGTTAAAAAAAAAGAAGTTTTCTATTTACTGTCCTGAACTTACAGACCAACAGGAGAGGCGAGAGGCTCCTACATCTGAAACAAAGACAACAGGCAACAAACGAAAAAGGAGATCCACTGACCTGACTGATGTTTCCTCCAGCCAGTCCCACCAGTGTGGGGAACCAGTCAGTGATGTGCAGCAGAGCGTTGGAGACCCGTCTCCTGCGTCTTAGCAGTGGGCTGTGAACGAACGCCACGCCACGGACTCCACCTTCCCAGTATGTCCCCTAGAAACAAAGACAAGAGAACCACTCCAAACGTCAGTTAAAGCATATTTATGATATCATGGAAGAAACTCAGAGAGAATCACTTTAACTGAGTCAGTAGTTTAGACAGGAGGGGAGAATGTGAATAACATTGGTTTGCACTGATACCTCAGCTGTGTAACGGCACAGAGGATCAGTGTCAGACTGTCAAGTCTGCTCGACAAAATCAGGAAAACACTCAGCTGTTTATAATGAGAGGAAACATGGCTGAACTGAAGGACGTGAAACTACTCAGCAGGATTGGATCTTGGTCCGTTAACAAGCTCGTGTTAAGATGTTCTCCTTCATAATGAATGCTAACTCGAACAGTTTAAATCACATGTCCTAGTTGGATCAGTCAGTTTTTCTCTTGTCATCCAAAATAGGAGATTCCAAACCTTTAAAACACTGAAAGATAAAACACTAAAGTCTGTCTATGAGCGGTGAAACACTGAGTCTTCTCTACCTTTCGACCTCGTAGCGGCCAGTTGCTCCCTCCTGTGAACGGCTGGGCTCCATTGTCGGTGGAGTAGATGATGACACTGTTACGGTAGTATCCGTACTTCCTCAGGGCGTAGGTGACATTATGGACGGCCTCGTCCACCGTGGACACCATGGCCGCGAACTTTCTCCTGGCCACATTGGCCATGTCACGGTACGGGTAGATGTAGGACTTTGGAGTCTGCAGAGGAGTGTGAACCGCCTGCAGGGAAACAAACAGCAAAGTTACATGTCCAAAATACAGGCTGTTTTTTTTTAACATCATTATTTTTGGATGAAAGCAGCCGACCGTGTGGTCTGATCGGGATGCAAAAGTCCGAACTCAATGTTCCCCTCTTGGTGCCGACTGTAAATCAAATCAAACATCTCTCTGTTCCTCGTTTGGTTTGGCATTTGTCAGCTCGATTTCTCACAAACCGCTTTAACCAGACTTCAACAACTCCAATGACCATGACAGACCACAACAGTCGAGGATAAACAAAAATAATAACATGAGGCTCCTCTGAACTTTTAATGGACATTCCTGTGTGGTCTGATTGTAATTAAAGGGTGAGGGTCCATGAGAGGCCAGATCCATGATGCTCATCGGCAAACAGAGGCTTTCATGTGGTTTCCGTGTTATTGTACCATTTCTGCTCCAAACATGCAGACATAAACACGCCGCGCTGTGACCGGTCTGACCTATTTTCCTAGTTTCCTAGTTTGCAGCTGTTTTTTTGAGTGTGTAATTTTAACCTTCTCCCAAGTTTTCTGAACCTCAGGGTGATACCTGGAGGGAGAGCAGCAGGAACAGCGGTCTGTCCGAGGGATCATGAGTCTCCAGGATCTTGCGAGCTCTCTGTGTGAACAGCGTGGTGGAGTATTTCCCTTCCTGACCCCACGCTACACTCTCATCGTCATGGAGGTCGTACCCACACAACCCCGGGCCGTCGCAGGAGCCGTAACTGAGGAGAGAGTGGAGACAGGTGAGTTATAGAAGAGGAAACACTGAGATCACCCTCACCTGTCCTAGTTTATCGTTAACACGTTCACCTGTAGTAATCCACACTCCCTGTTAGAGAGCCAAAGAACGTGTCGAAGCCTTTTCTGGTGGGGAGGCAGGCCTTCCTGAAAGAAAAAGGGAGAATTTGATTAATTCAACTGTAGAATAGAAAATCAGGAGGAGTTCAACCACACTAACACCTGTGCAGTCTCCGTCTCACCTGTAGAATCCCAGGTGCCACTTGCCGACCATGTGTGTGGTGTATCCGGCCTCTCTGAGCCTCTCAGGCAGAGTGTCCATGTGTAACGGCAAACAGCTCGGCTGCCTCGGTCTTATGATGGAGTGTTGAAGTCCTGTGTGGATCTGATACCTGAGGGGAAGGACAGAGGAGAACGGACTCATAACTCAAGAACCAAGGACGTACACGTATAGGTATGTGGACAGGTGTCTGCTCAGTTTAAAAGAAAAAGAAAAACTGCAGCTGTCCTTTAAAAATCACATTTTCCTTCAATATTCAGGCCAATTATGGCCTCACTCTTTACCCATACAACCACCTCTTTACAAGATGAACTGCAGAAAAGTGTGTTGGTATTTGCACCTGCCGGTCATGAGTTGGCTGCGTGACGGCGTGCAGATTGGCTGAACGTAGTAGTTCTCCAGCTTCACACCTTCTGCTGCCAGTTTGTCCAGAGTGGGAGTCTTGATGTTTGGGTTGTGGTAGCCGATATCATTGAAGCCCTGGTTCAAAAACACAGAGTCATGAAGTGACTGTTATTAACATACTAACAATCTTTACAGGGAGAGATATGATAACATTCAATGACTTTAAAATGGTTCTTTTAGAGGTAGTCACTGACCCTTTGTTCTTCAGAAGAAAAGTGGGTAGAATGAGGAAAAAACATCAAAGGGGTCAGATTCTAGAACTGATACCAAAGATTGTAGAACTGGCAACAAAAGGGTTAGATTCTAGGACAGGCATTGAAGGGGTCAGATTCTAAAACTGGCATCAAAGGGGTTTAGATTCTAGAACTGATATCAAATGGGTGACATTCTAGAACCTAGAACTGGCATCGAATGGGTTAGATTCTACAACTGGCATCAAAGGGGTTAGGTTCTAGGACAGGCATTGAAGGGGTTAGATGCTAGAACTGATACCAAAGATTCTACAACTGGCATCAAAAGGATTTAGATTCTAGAACTGATGTCAAAGGGGTTAGATTCTAGAACTGATGTCAAAGATTCTAGAACTGGCGTCAAAGGGGTTTAGATTCTAGAACTGATATCAAATGGGTTACATTCTAGAACCTAGAACTGGCATTGAATGGGTTAAATTCTAGAACTGGCATCAAAGGGGTTAGATTCTAGAATTGGTGTCGAATGGGTCAGATTCAAGAATGGAATAGGTTTATGACATGTACTGCAACCAGACACCAGGGGGTGCTGTTCTAGCAGAGGCTTCACCCTGTGAGGAGGCAGAGGACATCCAACCATAGACATATACAGTCTATGGTTAGAAGTATGAGGACTCTGAACAGACTGAGAGAAGAGCTGAGATCCTTCAAACCCACCTGGTCGTCTGTCAGGATGAACAAGATGTGCGGCTGGTTCTTCGAATCCTTCCTGAAATCCCTCTGAGTGTTTCTGTCATTCTGGTCCTGGTCCTGGATCTGGTTTGGTTTGGACCGGTGAGCTGACAGGCAGTCCAGGCTGAAGACAACACTCAGCAGAGTCAGAGCAGCAGCAGCAGTCTGCATCTTCTCTGCAGGAGCCCTGAACACAAACACAACGACAACAATGAAGAGGAAAAAAAACACAACGCAGCAAAACCCTTTAAGGACAAAACAGCAGCAAAGTGAGGCTCTAAAAGTGTGATTCAGCACAAATTCACAAAACTCTGCTATCAGTGGTGATCGTAAAACCACATTCAGGATGGATTTGCCAACTTGGCTGTTAGTGTAATCTGAAAGGAATCCATCTGGTTCAAGTAAAACTCTGAGGAGGCCTTTTTTCTCCTCCGTTTACAATCTTTGGAGCTGAATAATGACCAGTAAAAAAGGATCGCATTATTCATGGTGCCCGAGAGAGCAGAGGGAGAGGACGGTTTGATGGTGGCTTTTCTCACTACTCTTTGATTCCTCTCTGGACACTGACACGAATCATACTCTTGAATGACAGCTCCAACAAAAGCACGCTGGAACAGTCTTTGTGTTTTTAAGGATGATGCAGCAAATCCAGCAAGAAATTCAACTTTTCAAACATCGACGTGACAAAACACCTCTGAAGCCACTACGATACAGGGATATATGAAGTATTTTTGACAGCTCTGTACAAACTGTTCCCTGACGTCTCTGCACAGATGTTAGGGATCACCAGTTCTGTACAGTTAATGCATACTTTGATGCATAGCACACATTTTTGAAGAGAGACTGCAGTATATTATAGATGCTGATTAGACTGTATAAATCAAATCAATGGCCAAAGATAACTGTTGAACTATCACTGATATTTCATTAATGGTTCTACTATTATCTGTTATCACCAAAATGAAGCTGAATCTCTTAAAGTGAAGAAGTGACGTTTGGTTCTTCTCAGTAGTATGATTCAGTTGGACAAACATGCTTTGGTAAACAAAAAGTAGACTAAACACTTCAGTTTACCTGTTTTTTTTTTTAAAGCGGTATTAAGTTGCATAAACAAGTGCAGATGTCAGTAATCGGGTAATTGTTTTTCATAATCATGATCAATATCAATCAAAATAATCATAATTATGATTTTTTCCACAATAAAACGGCCCTGGTTACGCTCTGAAACTGAATCTGCTGTTTTTTATGTTTTTAATGGATCACAGACGTTTAAAAAACTTCTGATTTCTGTGGATTTAAACCTCGTTGGAAACATAACATTAGTTTATTTCTCGAATCAATAACAGGTCTAGTTTACACTCAGTATACTTTGCCCAATTAACCCTCACAATAAAGTTAATTAAACTTATTTGTAATGTTGTTTAACTTTAAATACTTTGTTTGGGTATTTAGAGTTTTTTGTTTTAATAAAGTTTTTAGCTTGACTTTTGCCTGTCATTGTGGAGTGATTGGCCAAGTGTTGAAATCATCAGTGCACGTGAATTAAAGTGTGAAAATGACACTCTGACTCCCTCAGTTTAGCCTGTCTTCTCAGAGATTCAGTCTAGAGTCGTTTGAAAGTCTGCGTCAAAGTAAATGATGATCAAATTTGGGGGAATAGAGAACTGGTTGATTTAATGTTGTTTTTGTTGGTGAAAATAAAGGTGTTATTGCATTATAGAGAGAGGATGTCTCTGTATTTTGTTATAAACCAGGTGTTACCATAAAGGTGAAACAGCTGAAACCGATCTGCATGAGATTCTTACAGGTATTTTTGTGGTCTTTAACCTTTTTCTCCTCACAGTGAAGCTTCACTTTTAAGTGTGTGCGTAATGGAAAACAGCACATCGTGTAAATCTGTTTAATATAAGACATGTTTACACGCTTACAAGTCAAGAGGTTCCCCGTCTTAGTGCGCAGTGTTGATCTTGTCTGTAAACTCGGCTCTGAATGGTCACAAAGCTGAGGACTATGACGGCTGGATGCCTGAACTGGTTTCCCATTAGGTGACACACTGGTGTTCATGGCAACAGCAGAGGATACACACACACACACACGCACACACACACACCTCTCTTTGTACTTGTGTGTATTCTCTGGAAGTGAACTTCTTCTCTGACAGCATTATGAGTGTCTTAGTTCAGTCTAAACAGGAACAAACCTTAAAGCTGAAACCTGATTAAAGCTTCTTAAATACAGATTATTATTTACTATCAGATGTCACTATGATTTAAAGTCTGACATCCGGGTGTCTTTCTATCAAACAGCTCACTGACACATTTCAGATCACTACTGTTCTCTGAGGATTCCCACCTCTCCTGTGTTCTTTAAAGCCAGGCCTGAATCAATACCTCGATTCCGGATCAATGGGAGTGAACGGCTCTCCTCTCCTCTCCTCCCTCCTCTCCTCTCCTCTTCAGTTCATTCCTCCGGCTCGGTGTCCTCCTCCGGCTACAACAAACTTTGGTTTGAGTGAAGTTTGCAGGAGACGCCGCATGTCCTCAAGTTTCCACCGAAACCTTCTTCTTCTAGTCTGAGTGTCCGCACTCCCAATGAAATACGACCGGAGTCAAGCTGGACCGAGAACCGCCGTGACGGTACCGGTCCGACCTGTCAAAATAAAACAACAAATACCGTTAGTACAGTTAGAACCGTAAAAACCCTGTTAGCCAACGATACTTAACGGCAGACTCACTGTACATTTTATAGAATTAAAGGGATATTCCGGAGTAAAATTAATTTAGGGTCAAACACACCATAACACCGAGTTAGACACCCCCTCAAGAGATGAACTTTGTCGACTGCTTGCTTCTCTAGTTATACCAACTTTAGTAACAATAGCAATACACAGCGGTAACCAAAACGCCACTCTATAGCCATAAATAATGCTCAGAACAGCACCTAACTTCATCAACAGGACATATAGGGTCACAGACATAGTAGGCTACTAGACACCAAACATCTTTTTAACTTTGACTCATTTCTTTAGCAAAGAGACTAAACACAACTCACCTACTCTCTTCCAGCAGCTGCTTGTTTATAGCAAGACTTCAGGCCAGTCCATTGCGGACTACAGTGGGGTGACACAGCTCAAGGAAGAACATTTATGATCATTTCTTCATGCTAAGACAGAAGAACTACCGCGTCTGCAGTGAAAAATGATTAATATGATGATTATTACTTCAAGGAAATGATAAAGAAATGATGATAAATGTTCTTCCTTGAGCTGTGTCACCCCGCTGTAGTCCCTAATGGACTGGCCTGAGGTCTCGCTATAACCCAGCAGCTGCTGGCAGAGAGTAGGTGAGTTGTGTTTAGTCTCTTTGCTAAAGAAAAGAGTCAAAGTTAAAAAGAAGTTTGGTGTCTAGTACTATCTATTACTATGGTACTAAATTTGATCAACTTTTGAAACTTAAAGCCACTATTAACAATATAAAACCACAGGTATCAGACTACATCTCATTTTTATGTGATTTCCAGAGTAAAACGCTAACCGGCTTCTTTTTAGTTTTATTTTGAAGGACACATTGCTGAACATCCGTAGTTCTTGTTCGTTCTGTGTGACACTTACCGCAGGGAAAAGAGTCATAAAGCTGCTCATTCCTCACCGTTGTTTGTTTAACTGTTCATGTGATTTATCTCCTGAATCTGAGCGTTTACTCATCGTTAACAGTGCCCCTGTTTGGAGTCATGGGAGCCCGGACAGAACATCACCCGCGGCGGTGAGACTCCGGGCTGGACTGCGGAGCAGGCAGAGGAGCCAGCTGGCACCCCACAGAAAACCAGGAATTTCTCTCTTTACGCAACAAACTGCAGCTGCAAAACGGCATCTAGTCAACCAGAGAGAAACCGGTTTGAGACCGGAAAGAGGTCAAATAGATCAAGTAATAAAGGCCATTATTGATGATTTTATGTGACATGAGGTATGCTGCTGCTGTGCTTTAAAATACATCCAGAGGATAGTCAACCAAATACTTGACATCAGGTCATGATAGTTAGTAATTTAAAAGTACTGTGGAGAATTGTAACATGATAAATGAGGAAAAACTAATTGATCAATAAAAAGTAAAGACTTTTGACAGGAGTGGGAATGCAGATGTGTATGAACATTTTTGGATTATACTAAATTGCAATGAATACAAGAATTCATAAACAGGTTAGTGAAGTAAGTGGGTATAGAAAGGTTATCCCAGTGGTTCTCAACTGGTCTCACTCTGGGACCCACATTGTCCCATGATCCTTAAGTCCCGACCCACTTTTATAGAAATCAAACCAAACAAATTTATTTTTTATTTCACAAAAAAAACTTTAAAGACTCTAATCTTTAACATAAATCCACTTGTTTTATTGAGTAAAGTGCATTTCAGAACATTCAGTGTGTGTGACCCACTTTTGGGTCAGGACCCACCAGTTGAGAACCACTGCTCTCAAAGAAAGATGGGTAGAGGTTCACCTCTCAGTGAGAGACTGCATTGGCAAAAAGTTCAAGAGGATAATGTTCCTCAGCCTGAAACTGCACATTATCTGGTAACTGCATCATCTACGATACATATAATTATTGAAAGGTTAAGAAAATCTGAATTTCTGAACTGAAGGGACAGAGTTTAAACCAGAGCTGGATGGTTGTGATCTTTGGAGTGAAGCTGCATTATAAAAACAGACATGGCTCTGTTGTAGAATTCACTACATGGGCTCAAAATGGGCACCAAAGTCATTTGGCATATCCTGTCCTGACTTTTGGAAACTATTTTGAAAATGAGCATATGTTTTTACTAAAACAATAAAGTTTAAACATTCAGAAATCTGCACTAATTTCACTGAAACAAGGTTAAAATAATTACAAACCATCATAGTCTTGGTTTTATTGACATTTTTCCAAGTGTCCCAACATATTTAAGATTGGGATTGTAGACAGAAACCAGTGGTTCTCAGTTGGGACTCATTTTAACAACCATAAAGTGGCTGATGGATGATTGACTGGTCTTTTTAAAATTCCCACTGGTCATAGACGAGTGAAGAAAAACAATCTCTCTCTCTCTCCCTGGGTTCTCCTTATTCTTTCCTTTTGTGTTATTGATTCAACATTTCTTTCTTATTTCTAAGGAAGCCTGGACTGCAGCTCGGCTCTTTGCTGGTCTTGGTGAGTCTCCACAGCTGGTGATGCTCCAAGTTTCCAACAAACAAAGCAGCGATGGAGGTGGTGTGTGATTTATTAAAGCCTGATTCACTGACAGTGAGCGATTCACGCAGGAATGCTGCCAGACGATGTCGTGGCTCCTCTCTAGGTAAGGAACAGTTACTCAGGCATACTTCACTTTTTCAGCTGCATTATTCATAATTCCTGCACTTAAACAATGTGAATGTTTCATTTAAATGTCAAGGCTTTAAAATCCATCATAAAAATTAGTCTTTAAGGAATAAATTCATGGAAATTAAGAAAGACATTTAAGGGAATGTAAGTCAAGACTTAAAGTTATTTTGGCATATGGACGCTTTTCAACAATGAATTAGTCAGTTGTTATATCTGTTTTTATCATGGATTGTTATTGGCCCAATCTCATAAATCTGATTCATAATATCGTATCTTTAACTAAAATTTACCATCTTTTCAAACATATCATCAACTCCATATTTAACATCTAACTTTTTGTTCATGGCAGGTTAGCATGATAAGGTGTGATTTTAAATGGTCCATTAATTAACTTGACTTGACCCATAGTCCCATTTCAGCATGAAAAAAAAGATATGTAAAATATAATTACTAAATGACACTCTTAAATATTTTATTTCCCTGTATTAGTTCTATTTTAATTCATTCATAAGTATCAAACAAACCATCTGTTAAAGCTGTAAAATAAAATAAAGTTGATTAGATAAAACATTAGAAAAACTCACTTAATCTGTGAGGTAGACCAACAATTTATTATTGAAAAAAGGGGGATTTTTGTCCAATAAATCAATCACGATTTATTCATATGGCACTTTTAAATCATAAGCATTTCAAAGTGACTGAGATGAAAATATGATGGAAAGTGAAACAATTATGTTAAAGAAATGAAGCCTAAAGAGAGAGAATGCACACTAATGGCAATAACATATGTAAGTTTAACAAAATTAAATTATAAATAGTGTAGTAAATAGGGTATAAAAAGTCAAGATATGTAGTAAAATATGAATAAATGCGCTAAAATATCAGTAAAAACAAGTAGTTAAATAATAAAATGACAAAAATCGAAGATAAACCAATAATAAAAAAACATTAAACTCAAATTAAAATCTAAAATATCCAGTAAAAACTGAAGAATTACCCTCTCGTTGAGCCATGATGATCGGATAAGTTTTTATTTTACGTTTAAAAAGTCAAATATTTTACCTGCTCTCTTGTCTTATGGCAGAGTAAACATCAAAAATACCGTAAAAACACGGAATTATTCTAATAATTTAGCTACGAAAATGAAAAGTCTTATTATTCCGTCAAAAAACGACGTCTTTTGTCGTGTTTGAGTGACTTTAAAAGGGTCAGTTAGCGTCGTTGTTTATGTTAGCTTAAAAAAAACAGGCTTCCAGAAAACTTCACTTCCCATGCTGCACTTCGAGGGGGGCGTCGTCGTCAGTGCTCTCACTACACACACTGGATAGCTAGCATGAGGTGAACTGTTAATAAGTGGACAATAATATTCCAGATTTGATCCCTGTCTGAGAGTGTCCGCCCGGACAGCATGGCTTCAGAGGAGGACGACGCTCTTCTGTCTCTCATCTACCAACACCTGAAGAGCAGCGGGTTCAAGAAAGCGGCGAAAGTTCTGGAAAAACACGTTTCTCAGGTGAGGGTCCGAGCTGGGTCTTCAGGGTTTACTGCTGTCTTCAGTGAGGAGCAGACACGAGGAGATGTCTGTCTCCATGATCGACTCTAAATGAGGGTTTTAAAGGGTTCCTGCAGACTGAGAGAGGACAGAGAGGTCTGACATGTTGCATAAGAATATGAATTAAATATAAATATGAGTGCAGAGACTGTTTCTGCTTCACCTTCCCCCTCTCTCTGCATGTGTGAGTGTGTTCGTGTGTGTGTTTGAGCACATGGCTCCTTACTCCGGCCTCCTGCAGGGAAAGAACATAATGTTACAGGAGCTGCATGGCTGCTGCAGGCCCAAACCTTCACACATTTAGCTGAATTTAGAGATTAAAACTGTCATTTCTGTTTCTAAAAGTGCTGGAGCTGAAACTAACACCAGTTTAATTAGTTTGTCCATCAACAGAAAATTACTATGATTCATTTTACAGGTTAAAGTTTAGAGAAAAACAGTTACGTTTGAGTATTTAGGGGGATTATGGACTTTTAATTTGAAATTTATAACATTACAGGAAGCTAATCTATCTATCTATCTATCTATCTATCTATCTATCTATCTATCTATCTATCTATCTATCTATCTATCTATCTATCTATCTATCTATCGCACTGTGCTCCTGTTTTTACTATTTACAGATTAAGACAAACTATCAATACTATTTTCCATTTTGAGTTGAGTATACTCCAAGTTTTGAGTATGGAAGTATAAGATTTGGGACACACCGTAAGTCTATGTTAGAGCTCCTAGTGTGGATTTTGGCGCCTCCTGTGGACAAAACCGTACCTTTAGTTTTCTTTCTGATTTAGTCCCGTTCATGAAGTTATTAGTGTTATAACCAGAATAATCACACCCTGCTTAATTTTAAAAGTCTGACTAACAATCTTTATGAATGAAAATGCGATAAAATGTGTTTTAATCACGAAGACTAGGCTAGTGGTTTTAGCCGCTAAAAATTACCACAGAAATAGTTTAAAACCAAAAGCTGATGGACAATTGTTCCGTGTCCGCTGAAGTCCTCAGCGTGGATCTTTGTAATGAAATCAGTCTCACTCAGAAGCTTTAAGGATCTGCTGCGTTGATGGTTCTTAAAGGATTCGATTGGAAAAGACTCAAAACTCGACTGTAAAGCCAGAAACGTTCAAACACAGCAGATGTGAAAACCTTTGGGGAACTCATTGTGTTTCTTGGCGCTCTTTCTTTCTTCTGGGGCGCCGCTTTGGCGTAGCAGTCAAAGAGCGCCTCACATACAGAGGCTGAAGTCCTCTCCTCTCTGACCCTTGGCTTCGTGTCCCCCCCGCCCTCCACTCCCCTGTCTCTCATCAGCCGGTCCATCTAAGGAAGGCGGAGATGTCCTGAAAAGTCAAAGTTCAGTATTTTTGAGTCTGGATGAAACTTGAGCCGCTCTAAAGTGTTTGATTTAAAATACCGCCATCCAAACAGAGTTTAAAGGGATATTTCAGTTACTTGTCACTATGAAATGCCTGGGTGGGGGTCTGTTCAGCCGTCTGATTAGAACCTGTTGGGAGAACAAGCGCGCAAGCTAGGCGGGTTGATTCTGACGTGTAGTTCAGCTGATTTTGAGCCTGAATTGTTGTTTTTCACCAAAAGGTCAAAACTCTAAACTACCTTCCCTGTCATTTGTCCCACAGACGTCTTGTTCTGTAGACGTCAGTCCAGAATAACTCTCTTTATCCCGAGTCTGTCATTGATAGTCAAACGGCGGCAGAGATTCATTTCCTGGAGCATCAGAGAGCGGGCAGACCTACACCACAGGAAATGAGCTCTTTCCTTTGAGCTCACCCTTTTCTTCTCTGTCCTACAGCGATCTTAATCGGCTTTTCAGGAGTGCGGTCCAACCCCGTCAGTGCCGGTCCAGAACATCTCTGTCTGTGATGATTTTTGTCTGAACACATGGTTGAAATCGAATGTTG